CGATGAAATTTATCAAGAATTATTTGAAGATGTACAACGTTCACGTATATTTCCTGATTCAAAAACTTTTTGTGATATAATTCCACGTAATCTTCGACCTAATGAAATTCTTGAAAATTATCGAAAAGAAAAAACAAAAACAACATTTAATCTGTCATCATTTATTTTCGATCATTTTATTGTACCAAATACAAAACCTGTTATTAATGAAAATCGAACAATTGAAGAACATTGCCATCATTTATGGTCATTATTAACGCGAGAGACAACAAAAGAAAATTATTCATCATTAATTGAAGTTCCATATCCATTTGTTGTACCTGGTGGACGTTTTAGAGAATTTTATTATTGGGATACTTATTTTACAATGTTAGGTTTAATTAGATCAAATGAAACAAAATTATTGAATAATATGTTAGATAATTTTGCTTATTTAATTCGAACAATTGGACATATTCCAAATGGAAATCGATATTATTATGTTGGACGATCTCAACCACCATATTTTTCATTAATGATTGAATTATTAGGGCAAAAAGAAAAATATAAAAATGAATTAGAAATTGAATATCAATTTTGGATGAAGAAAAGATCGATTGTACTTGATGATGGAACTATTCTTAATCGATATTATGATGATATTAGTGGTAAACCAAGACCAGAAGCTTTTCTTGAAGATACAGAAATAGTTCATAAAACAAATAATCCTGATATTTATGTTCATTTACGAGCAGCTGCTGAATCTGGTTGGGATTTTAGTTCACGATGGATGGAAGATGAAAATGATTTATCAACAATTATAACTGCTAATATTATTCCTGTTGATCTTAATTGTTTATTATATCATTTAGAATTAAGTTTAGGTAAAACGCTTGAAGCTGAAAATCGTCGTCAAGCCATACAAAAATATATGTGGTCAAATGAATTTCAATTTTTCATGGATTATAATTTTATTAAAAAGAAACAAACAAATTGTTTAACTTTAGCTGGCCTTTTTCCATTGTGGCTTAATATTTCAACATCTGATCAAGCTAAACAGGTTGCTCATCAGATTGAATCATTATTTTTATATGATGGTGGTTTGATAACTACAATTTCAAAAAAAAGTACACAACAATGGGATTGTCCAAATGGTTGGGCTCCGCTTCAATATATTGCATATTGTGCTTTACTTCAAGTGCCAGGTTATGAAAAATTTGCTCGAACTATTCGTCAACGATGGATGTCGTTAAATGAACGAGTTTTTAAAGAAACAGGTAAAATGATGGAAAAATATGATGTTGTGAATATCAATAAACCGGCTGGTGGTGGAGAATATGCAACACAAGATGGGTTTGGATGGACCAATGGAGTTTATTTAGAAATGCTTTATCAAAAACAGACAGAATCATAAACTTTTTTTAATATTACTTTTAAAAAAAAATATGAGAAAATTTTATTGATTATTTGATCATTTTATTCAGTTGAATTATAATCTGCTTTTGACATAATGGCATGCTTGTTATGACATAGGAGACAATAATAAGAAAAAGATCATAGATTGATAGTTTCTTGTAAAATGAAAATGTTTTCTAATACTCGTTTGTGTTCTAATACATCGAACTTATGTTGTTGTAATATATAGCCAAATCAGAATGATTCGTAGGAAAAAAACTTTTCCTTGTTGATTTAAGGTCATTTATCTTAGAATGTATTTGTCTCTTTATATTCCTGTTGACTAAGTTTGATCTTTCCAAGTTGACGATTTATATTATTGTTTAAAGTATAATTAGTGGTTTGATCTATGATAACTTCAAACACGTCCTGTGCTTTGTCTGTTTGACTTATTTTAAGTTACTGTGTATTTAATTGAGTCGGTCCTGTTGATTCTTCAATCTCTTGTCGCAGACGTTCAGTAAGAGCTCGAAAATCTTCGTTGTTGACGCTGCACACTGTTAATTCTATCTGATAGTGCTGATTATTTGTACCTTTTGATATGATTTTGCACATGCAACAAAATTGGATGCATGAAGAAGTGAAGTTTGTCTTTCACTCAAAAGTAACTAAGACCATCAATCGAAGAGAAGGAAGAGGTAAGATTGAAAAAAACGATCTTCATGCCAAAGATAACACAGACAACCGTGACATTTTTCGTTGTGCCACAAGAAAGTTCGAAGATCACGTCTCGATTTTTACTGGCAGATAAAAATCTATTAAAACGCATTAGATTATCTGAAATATACTCTGATCACAGTACATCGTGAAAGAATTATCAGTATAATACCTACAGAACTGTTCTAAGTGCGATTGTTCGATGAGTACTGTCTAAATCTGTTCATCAAAGGGGATAATCTAGTATTTAATATTCAAAAAAAAAATCATAAATATACCTTCTAATTCGTCTTTTTTATCATGATGTTTTCTTTCTAATACATTGACATTTTTTAGTTCGATTTCATTCTTGGTGAACATATCCGAGAGTAATCGACAAAACCTTGGAACTTATGCTCTTCAAATTCCATGGTCAACAAAATCTCGTTCACGATTTATATATAAATAAATGATCAATTCTACCGATATAGGTTCTTATTGCAAGCATCATTATTGGTAGGAACGAAACTATTAGTAATTGGGTTTGACTCGTATTATTGGACTGCTTGCTAGAAGGTCTCACAGAGCAAAGATATCTCTATGTGAACACTTTAGGTTTTGCGTCATTGTTTAGTCGATTGTTCATGTTTATCTTTACTACCACAAAAATATCTGTCACCGAGACACAAAAACCGATATTTGATTTTTTTTTACATTTCGCACACCCTAAATCAGTCTTTGCCGATGCTGCTGGCATATTTCTTGTCAAAAAGTTCTCTAACATCTTTTTCATGTCAAAATTTGTCGAAATTAAGAAAATTTTTTGAAAATTCATCGAAAAATTTCAGCTGTCACCGCTGATCAATGCATCTGCTTACACCTGCAATCAAAGAGATTTTCAATTGTTAGCTTTAGAAACTGAATTCATTAAGGTAGTAACACTATCTTTTGTTTGAATAAAATATTCAGTATTTTGTAGGTTTATTATTATATTTTTTTTTTATAAATTAAGTGAATTTAAATGAAATGGAATATTATTTTTTTTTTGTTTTCTGCTTATCATGATCAATATTAGAAGATATTTTTTCTGAATATTATGATTGTAACATGCTAGGTAGTTTTACGTGAAACTTTGATAAGTGGAAAATGAATTATACTATTTATACGAATTATTACAAATAATTCTTAATGATATAGCATAAACAGTACATACTACTCGACAGCTCGATTAAAAGCTATTGATAAGCCAAAAGATACCCGTGCTACTAAGTTTATCTATCACAATACAAATGTACCAGAAACCTATATTATAGTTCTTTTATTTTTTGCCTATACATTTTTCATCATCTTTAGACATGTTAAAAACACTGAATCAAGAAAATATTACATGTTATTTTGATGAATGAGTCACATCTAAACAGTTGGTGTTAACAAATGTTATCGGTAAAGACAACGACACCAATTATTGTAATACAATAAGGCAAATTGACGCTCTTTCAATACTATCAACACATGTACTGATGATAGTCAATGCGTTAAACTCATCAATAGTACGAATAGATAAAAGACTTGCTTGATTAAATGAAGTTCTCTTGGACAATATATTGTCTACATATCCATGATGCTACACCCAATGTAAATATGAAATGCAAAATAGACGCAGTTCCGATGAAACATTGCGCCGTATCTAAATACGTCTGAAAGTTATGGTTCCAACTACGTATGAACGTTTTCAATCTTTGTGTTTCAGACATCGATTTACTACGAGAGATATTTATATGGTATGTCTAGTAAATATGGACAAACATGTTTTTATTTCAAATACGTGACAATCGAAAAATGTTGCAATGTAGACAATATTTGAAATAAAGTCTTACTCACTCACATTTCAAAAAGTATTTTCATCAATCGAATGGACACAGTTTTTAAATTTTTTTCTTCTGATTTTTCTGTGCCATTGGATTAGTCAGATATTGTTAACGTTGTCATGATCATTGTTCGTTCACGAATATTGTAAGTTTGAACAGATTGGAAACAATATAATGGAGAAAATGATCTGAATTTTTTGTTTCGTAGAGTAGTGATTCGCATATGGTCTGTATTGCTTCACACATCTACATGTATGAGACTCTTTATTCACGTACAGTAACAGAAAGATAAAAATGTAATATTAAACTATACGAATGATCAAAATATATTTGCATACATTGCAAAACTGTTGCTTACGAGCATATATAGACTTTGCATTCTTCATCCTGAACATGCATCGTATTTTTTGTTTCATTTCAATGATGTCAAATAAGGTAAACAAAATAGATATCATTATATAAACAATTTCAACATACAATAGAATAATAACAATCACTTGTTTTTAATGATTTAGCTATGTTCTTGAACAAAAAACAGATAGTATCATCAGAAGATGGAGAAAGCGTTGAATCTCACCATGTCTCAGTACCCAAAATGTAAGCATCACTCTGTCCAGTCGTAAGACAGTGTCAAGTCACGATTCACCAATTTATGGTTTCAACTTCTAAGAATAACCTACATAAAATCATTTCATATTTTTTTATTCATTATAAACGAAACAAAAGTGAGACGATGTAACATGAGAATGAAGCAATCGAAAACAAAACACTGCAATACTCTGAAAACACATTCTTATTCTTCGAGAACTTCGCTTAATATTATACAACATTTTTCTACAGATGTCGGGATTAACCAGTGAGAACCTTTTTTCTGTCGGAATATTTTGTTCATAATAATGGCGTTACAAGGTCCAATCTAATCACGTACATTTATTGTTTCAAATAACATTCATATCAACAATTGTAGTGTCGAGCAAAATCGACTCAGTAATTTAAAACAAGTAAATAAATTCAAATTTTTTAATCTAATATAAATTCTTTTGTATCATCTAGAGAACAGTCATGGCTTCCACATCATCTATTATCGATAGTCACATAAATGAAATGTCAATTGATAAATCAGTAAGTACAATTGTATTTAAATTATTCACACTAATTTATTTTTATTAAATAAAAGATTCCAGTTCATCTTGACGAAGAAGCTATTCTACCAAAGTCACATAAGCAATCCATAGTAGAAACACCATTAATACCAACAAAAACAACAAGTAAAACTTCCCTATCATCAACAAGTTCAAAAACGAGTGATTATCCTGATATATGTCGAATATGTCATTGTGAAGGTACAACTGATGAACCATTAATATCGCCTTGTTATTGTTTGGGAACAATGCAATATTTACATCAATCATGTTTACAACATTGGATAAAAAGTGCCGGTGTTAAATCCTGTGAACTTTGTAAATTTGAATTTATTATGCATTCAGAAATAAAACCATTTAAACAGGTACAAAGAAGAAAAAAGAAATTTTTCGAATAATATTCGATTTATTTTATTTTCTCAGTGGCAAAAATTAGATATGAATGTTGTTGAAAGACGGAAAGTCATGTGTTCTGTTGCGTTTAATTTAATAGCTGTTACTTGTGTTCTTTGGTCACTTTATGTATTAATTGAAAAAACAAGAGAAGAAGTTAAAGCTGGCAAACTTCGTATGTTAATTTTATTTTTGTTTAGTAGAAGAAAAAAAAAAAATTCCACTTTACGTTTGTTTTGTTTTTATAGAATGGCCATTTTGGACGAAATTAATCATTGTTGCTGTTGGTTTTACTGGAGGATTGGTGAGAAAATAATTTTTTAAAATATATAGAAAATGGTTGTGTCTTTTGCTTTCTAAGATCTTCCTTTATGTTCAATGTAAAATGTATCTACAGGTAAGATTAGCTAAATCTCCTTCAAAATAGAAGAGCATCCTAGATTAAGAGGTTGCTCACAACAAAAACTTTAAAAGGCTCAATAGAAAGCCATGAGTTTTCCAATCTTTTTCCCGAAAATTTAACGGATTTTGAGTTTCTGTAGCACCCCTAACAGCCTGGTTTTGTCAAACATGATCTAAAAAGAGTATAGGAGTGAAAATTTGGACTCACGTCTCCTTCTCCTTACAGATTGTAACAGACTTTGATATATGATCAAAGATCGTATATCAATAACAACTTGTTGTAAAAAAAAAATGAAATACTTCCTAATTGCATTTCTCTGCGATTTTTAATCCCTTAGGGATGGCACTAACAGCTTTTTATGCAAAAAAAACATTTTCTTGTTATTAAAATTACTTTTTCTTTAGTAAAAATAGTTGATTTTCCGGTTCTTAGTTTCTAATAACGTCAATTTGAACATCAGAAAAGTATTTTTAAGGACCTTTGACTTTCTAGGTAAATGTTAGTAAAAAAAAAAATTAATCCGCAATCGAAGACTACCTATGGAAGAGTGATGTGAATTTCCATAATAGAAGGTCATGGGATTTTATTCTGGGAGGTTACTAATGTAATCATACAATATCGTCTGAAATTATTCTTTCTAATTATTAAAAAACAAAACAAAAAAAAGTCTTCTTTACAATTGTTCATTTAGCTTTGTATTCGTTGGCGTCAATTTAACCAACGTATTGTTATTCATTCAAGAAATGAGGAACGTCACAGTGGAATGACGTTATCAGGTAAATGAACTTACAAATAAAATATTGAATAAAACTATTTTCTTTTTTCATAGGAACGAAAAATTCAAATAATAATCGTGATAATTGTATTGTAACAGTACTAGATGCAAATGATTTACCTCCATTAAATTCTACTACATCATCAATAGTCACAACTGGTAATACAAATATTCAATTCGATTCTTCTTCATCAACGAGTATCAATCGTAATCGACGACATCAAGATAACAATCATCGACGTTTTCTACATCGTTTTTTTATATTCCATCGGTCGAATCAATCTCAAACATAATTTTAGTTTATTGTATATATACACATATTTGAATCTCAATTAATTTTACAGTGAGTGTTAATATCCATTCTATCGCCAATACGTCTATATAACAAAAAAAATGAACGAAATTGGTATTTCTAGTCATTTAGAGTGTTACGAAAATAGAAGACAAAAGAGTACGAAGTTTTTAGTTTTTTCTCTCTTCCTTTCATTTATCCCACCATAACGTTTTGTTCTGAAGTCTTTTTTTTTTCTGTTTCTTTTGATGTTGTTTACGTAATTCTGAAGAAAAAAAAAATAATATTCTTTTATTTTACTGCTTCACATTGTTTTTGTTCCTATTGTGCTATTGCTTCATTTTAAAGGATAATAAATGGTCGGATGATAGAAGATTAAATTTATCATTTGATCTTATATAATCTGATGGAAATCTATCGAGCTCAAAGCGTGCTATTCTTCAGAATAGTAATTACATAGTCAAAAACTTCTATAGCTTTTTTCGAACACAAATGTAACAAATAAACGTAAACTTATGAAAGATTTTCTAGTCTGTTCTTCAAAATTGACTTAAAACCATTGAATTGGATTTTTCCTAAGATTAAATCATATGAATAGTACAGTGTTCTAAACAGAGATGTAAATCGATGCACTGATCGGTATTAGTAGCTAGGTCGATCGAACATAGATTGTGACGACGGCTGAGATGTATCAAAAATATTGAGATTTTTTGCGTCAGCAGCTCAGTCAATCAGCATACATCTCTATAATTCTAATTAATTATTTGACGGTTCAAATCAATGAGAGTTAAATAATTGCTACCAACTCAGGGTCGACAAAAAATTGGTCAAACGACAATTAAGCGACATCAATTGGACATTACGAGGATAAGTCACAGTATAGATTGATCACAATACTGAAAAGAAATGAGCGAAAACATTTTACTAAGCATTGTAAAGAAACCACTCAGAGAGGTCTAGAAGACATTTTAAAAAACCGTAAAATAATAAACCATTTAAAAGGTTTATTATACATTGCATTTTCATAAACATTTGTTCACTCATGAAGATAATAAACTCTTGAAGGACTTATGCAAAAAGACAATAAGTTTCTGAAAGGTTTATTTTCTTCAAAGCAATACAAAGGTTCATGAAAATGCAATGTAACATAAAACCTTCAAGGGTTTATGAAACTGTCATAAATCCTTTTCATAGGATTTATTATTCTACGCCTTTTTCTTTTACAATGAATAGCTAATAATCTGTTCAAGGACAAGAAGCATTACATATAAGCATAAATACAGAATGCTAAAAAAACTCTGATAATTGTTTATGAAGCCCGATAAAAGAGCAAGTAGTAGTCAATTTACAAATCTCCCATAATCCATATCAATTACCCTTATTTTGGAGATTCTGTTGCATTGTAGTTTTCGGTATTCAACAATGAGTATAATTTTCATCTTTTCAATATATTTCAACAAATTTCAAATGTGAATGTCATTATTCAATTAGCGTTTATCAGCGAAATCATCTACAAATTCATTTCATAGGGTGAATCTTTATTTTTCACATATCACTATCATTCTTGCGCGATGCTGTGTGATTGAATCATATGGTTACAAATTACAGTCTATAAGAAATAAAATAGAAAACAATGCTTCTGTCACACATATGACTAATTATTGCTACATCTATTACTGCTTTTTCATTGACTCAATTATTTAATATGAAACTATTGCATAGATAAGATTAAAACTAACGGACACAACGAATACTTTGCTTTTTAACCCTTGAATTTTCGAAACTTCTTTGACTTTGTGTGAGTCATATGTTTACTTTTGAGACATTCATATTAAAAGGATAAGGTATATGTTATGTTGAAAGAATTTTCTTGTAACATTCACATAGCTATAAAATTTATTAGTGGGAAGAAGCAGATGAAAGTTTCCCACGAATTCTTTCAATTTTCTCATACTGATTTCGAAATTTATCTGTGAAAAAGCCTCTACTTTCATTTCAAGTTAAAAAGACTTGTAAATATTTCAATATGTTTTCTTATCTATGTAAATAAATGTAATTATTTCAAAAGCATCATTTTACATGAAATTTCATTTCTGTTCATTCTATAAACTGATGAAATTAATGAGTCAAATGCTGATGACACAATACGTACATTTTACGAAAGTTTACCAATATGCTTGTATTCATTTTTTTTTTCGTATAATATTGTTCCTTTTCTAAAAACAAAAACACTGAAACATACAGTATTCACATAGGTCATTGTTTAACAAAAAGAATTTTTGTCTTAATTGTGTACAAAGAATAGTACATATACTATTAAAAGCAAAAATCAAGAAAAAACAACAAAAATTGATGTCTACATGCATTTTGTTTGCTAAGATAATGAATCAAGTGACGATAATGAATGTTTTTTTACTCTTAGATCAAGAGGAATATCTAATGATAATTCAGGAATGATTTCTGTCGGTGCATAATATCGTTTTCGTTTTTTCAATGGTACACATATTTCACCGAATTCAGATGTTATTTCATTAATCATTGATATGTTTAATATTGAATCGATGAAGAACGATGTCGATTTTGCAAGATTAGAGATTTCTATAGGATTATGAAATAGATTCGGAGATGATGATGATGATAGACATGATGATGGTTGTTGAGCAATTGAACATGTTGAAAGTATTTGTTCTATGTTTTCTTGTTGAATTATTTTTGGTAAAGACGAAGACGATGAATTATGTTCAATTGATGATGATAAGCAAGAACAATTAGGAAGAGATGTTACATTATTTATCAATTGAAAGCGAAGAGAAATGTAATTAGACGATGAGGAACATTTATCTGTTAATGAACGAAGACGATCTGAATCTTTTAACAATCGATTATTTGAATCGAATATAGATACCTAAAAATAATTAAAAATACAAAAATATATTATTTTATTAATAATGATTACTTCTGTCGTTGGTGAATGATATAAACTTGCTTCGATAAATAAACGTATAATACGAATAGGCATTGAACTTTGACATTTCAGATAACGACGAGTAAACTAAATGAAATAAATAAATAAAAATATTAGAAATTATTAATATACTTGAATTAATGCATTATCATTTGACGTTGATTGTGGACAACTAAAATCATTTTCTTTTATAAAAATTTCAAACACTTTTTTCTTAATGTTACCTGCATTTTGTATCTAATTCAATGTGAACAATATCTCTATTGGTTTTTTTGAATTCTGAAAAAAGAAAACATAAGAGATGATTAATCATATTGTCTTTCTTGTTTTACTTTGACTAATTGTTGGTCGTTGTTGCTTCATAATGCTTAATATTTCTATAACTATAAGCAAAACAAAAAAGACGTGTATGTATTTATTGAAGTTGGGAAAAATGGGTACTTGTTTACTGCTATTTTGTTTATGTCTTCTATTTCTCAATTATCAATGAATATTAGGTCTTTTGGGTGTTTAATGTAATAAAAAAAAGTTCAATGTTTTTCTTTCGATAATTTGTGCTCTACCTTTTGTTAACTAATACATTTATCTTCGCTTTCGACTTCTGTCTCGTATATTTTTGAATAGTGAGACGACTAGCCGCACACCAACGAAGAAAAGAAAAAAAAAATAAGAAAAAACCTTGTGTAGTTGTGTATTTGATTCCACAAAAAAAGGAAGAGAACGGAAGAAAACATGATTTTTTGGTTTTTTTCCCCTGATTCATGTTTGGCAAAGAGGAAAATATTAGTAATAATGATTAATCTTAATTTACTATCAATCTTAGATTGTTCTTTATCCTTGCACTTTTGAAAGAATTCTTTCAATCCTTCTCTAAATATTTAATTGAAATAAATTAACGTTTCATGAATGACATGTCGATGAAGTTTAATCATCATATTTTTATTTCTCTATATTCATATGTTTAAATAATTTTAGAATTACTGAAAATATAACGATCCCTTGTGTAATTGATAAAAACTAGGTTACTAGTCAGAAACCAGAAAGAAAACCAACGATGAATGAAAAACATTAATTGAATGTCATTTCGATCATACACAAATAAATATTAATAATAGCGTTTCGTATAGGTCTTTTTGTTAAATTTAAGTACATGACAAATAAAAATTTCTAAAACAAAATCTAGACTTTTACCATATAGGTTTGATTGAGAAATCTTCCAACTTTCATTTTATGACAAAAGAAAATTTACTATTATAACACTACAAAAAAAGTACGCAGAGGGTTAGATTTTTCTCTTCTTATCTGATAGAACAAATATTTTTCTTCGAACAAAGCGCATCGTATAGAAGTTAGAATCATACTTTGATCCATCATTAGAACTTTTATTTATTTAAAACTATTTGAATTCATTTCTTATGTGGGAAATTAGAATAGTGTGAGACAATAATCTTCTATTAATAATAATGTTTCTTCTTTGTTCGAGATGTTTTCTTGGATAATAATAAAGAGATAACCAATGATAAAAAGTCGGTAGTGCTAATAAGAAAAGATAAACGCTAAAATAGTTTTCACCATACATTGAAGTTCGATTCACAATTAGATTTTTTTGTGTTCTTATATATTTTTTGATGTTCAAATGAATGTTTGAGAAAGTGGACATGTTCTTATGTTAAGAAGTAAATTTAAATAGAATATTTTGAATAATAACAGATGTTGATAATGATTGAAGAATTTGATTCATCAATTGATTAATTTTTATGATAAAGATAAATGATAGCAACCGATGTATAAGAAAACTTCTTCGAATGTTTTATTTAAGAACTATTCTTACTCATTGAAAATATGTTTCTAAGTTTTCTACATTGAATATATACTAATTTTCTTTTTATAATGACTTCAGAAATGAATTAACTCTAGTCAAGTTAATCGCTCAATACTTATGCTAAATAGATTAAATTATTTGACAAATACATAAGAAAAAAAAAACAAAATAACTTATTTGTCTCGTATATTTGAAACAGTAATGTATAGACAGCTTAGTTTCAAACAAGAAAGGACGAAGTTATTTTATATGAAAAGAAAAATACGTCATCATGTTGATTGACATCAGTAATCATCAATGCAAATAATAATAACAAAAATAAAGAAAATGATCAAATAGGACAAAAAATAAGGTGTCTTGTTTTTTTTTTGTATATAAGCAAATCATGATATTTTTATTTAACATTATTCATTTTGCTTCTATTAAGGTGATAGAAAACCGTGCAAAAAAAAATTCAGAGAGTTTTAATAATATAGATGGCAATGGCTTTTTCTTGAAAGTAATCGTATTGAATATTATTTAGAATGACTTTTGATAATCGATCACAGTTTATTAATATCAGTCAATGAGTAAGTTACTTCATCTTAAAAATTTGATAAACTTATGTTAACTTACCTACGTAGCTGTTTTTGACTTTGACGAGGTTTGAAATTGTACAAAGTTATTCGTACGAGGGAACTACACGAATTTATGCCTGCCGTTTGAGCTTCTATTGGATTCAGACGGATGTCTCGGTAAAACCAGACACATCCTCAAATAGTTCGTGCCGATGAGCTTCTGAAGGCAACTCGAGACCGTTTTATTGAATTTTCGATTCAGCTTTAGGTATTTATTGAACAAAAATCCAATAACGGTATTTCAATCTGAAGTTTAATTCATTAACAGGTCGAATAGCTAGTATAATATTTTGAAAGTTTCAACCGAATCGAACTTGCTTTTGTTAAGATATTCAATTTCCAAAAAATAGTTGTTTGCTACGAAAATCAAGTTTACTTGAAAACTCAATATCTGGATAAAGAAATCTTTGTTTCACTTGAAACTTTCAGGATGCTCTACTAGTCATTCAACCAGTTTATGCATGAAAATTCAGATCGAAATGCTGTTGTTTGATTTTTTTCGCTAAATACCTAAAACTGAATCGAAAATTCAGTAACACAGTCATAACCCGGCTCTAGAGGTTTAGCAGCACAAACTCTTTAAGAATTTTTCTAGTCTTACTAAAGCCTTTCTGTAAGCTCAAACGATATGCATCATTTCTGGTAGTTCCCTGGTTAGTTTATAAATTTGCAATCTGTTCAAGAATATTTTTGTTTAATCTTCATATTTCCTTTAATTAGGAACAATTGAAGACAAAAAAAACAGACAACTACAGATGAATAAAAACTTAATTCGATATCATCATCTATAATTATAGGCAGATAAGACGTTTCACTTATTTTTGAACAAATAGCTTAACTTTAAAAAAAAGTATTGACAGAGGTCGGCATTATATTATGTTTTACGAGAAATATCCAAGCAATTTTTCAGATGAATTGTTTTGAATAGAATATAGTTATGAAATACTCCTTTGCTCAAATAACATAGCATAACAAGTGATGAAGATACAGTATGGATACAGGCGATTTCGCCTTAACTAAATTTAAAATTATGATAAGCCGGTTCGAGTAAATTTCTTATCACAATTAGGCATGCATCAAACCCGAACTCCGATTAAGTGTTTGGAACGAATAGCTTGCGTTCTCGCTGAAAAAAAAAAATTCAACCAGTTCAAACAGCGTCAGGTATTTAGGTAATTGCTCAAGCGTTTCTTGAAGTCTATGTGCAATCATATAGGTACCCTGATGTTAGGTTAAGTTTGAGTTCGGATTCGGGTTCAAATATTTTTGAACATTGTTAGCTTTTTTTTCGTATGTCTGGAAATCTTCAGTTGTTGGGTGATTTATTCAATTGTGTGTAGCTCTATCATCACCAAGCTTCAAATCCTTTCTTTTCGCTTGCTTCTACTTCCTTTTATCAATCCACTAAAAATAATTGCAGACAAGATCAAACTCTAAGGCTCATGTTCGGTGCATGCCTAATTGCAATATTACTAGGATAGCAAGGCTATCTATTCTCTGTATAAACATCCTTCATTAATAGCAGCTGGTATTTTCTATGATATTTCATGATACAAACATAATATACAATTATATTTGAGTTACTTATGAGGAACCTCGGTGAGTGATTTATACGATATGATTCTATTTTTTAACATTGCAGATATAGACAACTTTTAGATGATGCAGTATTAATATTAACAACAGTAAAAGACGACTTGAGAAATTGATACAAACCAAGTGGGTTTTTTTTTATCAATTTAAGGATTAAATAAAGCATTTTGGTGTATTTCATCACTTTCGTTCTTATTCAAATAACTAATCCCTTAACAGAAGGGTGTCCTACAAGTTTAAGAGGCTCCCCCTTCCAGAGTTTATTGAGAACAACCAATTAGAAAATTTACAACTTTCATATTAGATAGATCTTGACAAGTGAAGTAAACATTGTCATAGATCGAAAAAATTTCAGAATACTTTTCTGTAGAAAATACTAAGGTTGCAATGCTGAAAAATGATCTCCTTATCGTGTCGGGTTGTTCACTGTTTTTTTTTTGACTTTTTGCCATCTCCTTCTATTCAAATAACAACACCCAAATCTTGAATGCAGTCTAAAAAATACATGTTCCTTCGACCAGAGTTTTTCTGTACAGTCCGGTAAAAACCAGTGGTATGTCATACTTTGAACCAAAACATAAAAAGTAGTCATCCTAAATTTTTTCTAATATTAGTCGAAAAAACTTTCAGTTCGTTGACTGTACTATACTTGAGAAATGGAGATTGACTGATTCTCTACTGTTTTTGTCAAAATCTGATTTTTCAAGAAAAAAAAAAGATTATTCAGAAAATTTTGATGTTTTTTGTAGTAAAGACGTCCCATATGTTCACGTTTTTTTATTTTTACACTTATATATTAATTTTCAAAATATGTTCAGTAGATAGAAAATACTTTGAAGAGTAATACAGCAGAATAAAACAAAAATGAATATCTGAAAATTTTGTATCGGACATATGAGAAGGAATCGTTTTGAGATTTTTAATAATCTTCGACTATTAAATACAAAATAGTTTCATAGACATCTCTTCATTTATTGATTCTTATCCATTCGAGTCACACACTAAAATAAAACATGTCACATTGTTTTCCACTAATCTATAAGCTAAGCAGTCGTTCGCCGCTTTGTTTTGCTCATATACCTACATATAACCGAATCAGTTGTATATACTAAACTTACACAGTTTTCCGTGTTATTTTACTTGAAATGGTTAGATCACAAGATCTTTCTGTTTTAAGTTTCAAGAATATATCTTAATAAATCGAATCCTAATTGAAAAGTAATTATTATTCACTTTCCCAAAAGAAATCATAGACACAGCAAAGAATAAATATCAATCATACACTCAAAATAAATCCCAACACGCATCCTATGTCATTGAGTTCGACACATGTTCAACATTTTATATTAATATATATTGACTAAACAGTATCAGAAGATAAAATCTATTCTATCAAATTTATCAAAAGTTTATATCTCTTGTATGTTATTGTTGTTGTTTTGTAAAGTTTATCACGCCTTGTGTATTTATCGTTGTCATTTTTTCTATATGTAAATGTCTTTATATGCACTTCATGATGTGATTGATTAGATCAGCACAAGTTGTTGTCTCTTTTTTCTTTGCTTCAATTCTTTATTTGATGAATGGCATTATCATTAAAGCAGACATTATTAGTCTTCAGAGAATCTTATTTGGAAAGAATGAGTTGACGACTAAGTCAATATAATTTCTTTTTCTTTTTGTTTTGTTCTTCTTTCGTTTAATTGTTGTCAAACAAATGGCATAAGCAAAAACAACAAGTCCGAACGATTATTTACTGTCTTATGCTACGAAAAATAACGAACATATTGTCGAACTTGACATTTGACAAGATCAAAATCTATGCAGAATAAAAACATTTCGACAATCAATAGGATTGTTACAAAATGAAATTTTATGCTTTTGTTATTCTTCTTTTTCTTTATTCTTCTTCGATTTGTTTAACAAATGATGATAATAAACAATGTTTAATTCGTGATTCTTGTTCAAATTTAACATTAAAATCTCCATCTATCTATGATGATGAACCTTTTATTCAACATCGAAATTGTTTTTGTGATTCTATTTGTGAAGAATATGATGATTGTTGTCATCAATTAAAATTATCAAATGCAAATAACTATGAATGCATTGATTTTCTTTCACCAACGTTTAATGATAGTCTTCCTCCATTTAGTCCATTATTTGTATGGATGCGTGCAAAATGTTTATCAATTTATATAGGATCACGTTCTGATATTCAATGTCGAAATTTAAAAAATCAAACATTTCTAGACAATCCATTATTATTTATTCCAGTTACAAGTAAACAAACAAATATAACCTATCGAAATTATTATTGTGCATATTGTAATAATGATGCAAATATAAATTTACAATTTTGGGAATATAAAGCAAATTGTCATGGTAATGGAAGTCTTTCTGATTATATGGTTTTAGATAAAGAAGAACAAGTTAATTATTATATTCATAATTTAACACAACAGTGTAAGAAAACAATTATTTATCCACGTGTTACAAGTACTGGTGAGCCTTCGGTTTTTATTCGACCTTGTAAAAAATCACTTCCATCAACATGCCCTTCGCAAACATCAGCTGATTTAGCTGGAAACTGCTCTCTATCCAGTACTGCTTATCGTTATGATATCATTTCACATGTTGTTTATCGTAATCCTTATTGCGCAGAATGTAACAATATAAATAGTAGTAACATAACATGTACGGACCCAGATTTACGTTCAAGTATATCTCTAACGCATCAAACACGTGCTCCTTCATTATCAATACTATTTGATCCAAATCTTCTTGAACGTTATTTAAATTATGATTTGGATAAAAGTTCAACAATGCAAATGATCTATTCATTATATTATAAGTGTTCAAAACCGAATGAACTTTATAATTTATTTTTAAAAAAATGTTCTCAAATAACAAATTCAAGTAAAGAAATAATTATTTCAATGAATTGTTCATCTGCAATACAAATTTCAGAAGACTATACTCGATATAATAATGGAAGCTTATATATTATTAATCAACCAATTCTTTTAAATAGAGATCAATATGTATTTATTAATGATCATCAAATTGTTTTTTGTGCTAATCAATGGAAAGAAAATCAATTAACATTTTCATTTTATCGTAATATCTTAACAATTATTTGTACTTCAATATCGCTTACTTGTCTTGTTATTTTTGTAATAGCATTTTGGTTAATTTCTACCTTACATAATCTTCCTGGTAAATGTCTTTTATTTCTATCGATTTCAATATTTATTGGTCAATTATTGTTTATTTCGACATCTGTTCTAACACAATATTCTTATCTTTGTCTTATATCAGCTATTTTAATTCATTATTTTTATTTATCATCATTTTTTTGGTTATTAATTATAGCAATACATATACATGCAACATTTAATTGTGAAATTGTACGACGTGAAAAACTAGATAAAGATAGATATCGTTTACTAGCTTATAATATTCTTGTTTGGTGTTCAACTGGAATTATTATTCTTATTGCATGTCTTTTACAATTTACAAATCCTGAATCAAAATTTTCACCTAATTATGGATATTTATTTTGTTTAATATCAAAACCAAATGCAATGATTTTATTTTTTCTTGTACCAATTGGTTGTTTACTATTAATTATTGCAATTTTATTTATTAAAACTATTTTAGCAATACATCATTCACAGAGAATAGCACAAATAGCTAGTGCATCATCATCATCATCGGTATCGAATCATAGTAATAATACTCATCTATTTATTTATACTCGTTTAGCATCATTAATGGGTTTACAATGGACATTATTGATTATTGCACTTATTATTCAACAAACTTGGTCATGGATTATATTTGAAATAACCAATTCTCTTCCCGGAGTATTTATTTGTTTTGGATTTTTATTCTCACAAAGACTTTGGAATAATATTAAACAAAGAATAATGACGAAATTAATAATTAGACGACAATCATCACGAAGTAATACAACATCAACAACATTAATGCAACCACCATCACAACGATCATAATAATGAGAAACGTTTTTCTTGACTCTTATTTTGAATTAATGAATAAGGAATCTCATTTAATTCATAAGCCTTAAAAAGCATTTTTTTTTGTATTTATACTTTTCAGATGCAATAGAAACAGCATCTTAAATACATGAAAATGTTGTATGTGGTATGCATGGATTTCATAATGAACTATCTTATGCTCACAGTTGACTTAAGACAGAAAACATTAAGGCACGACTATTTTAAACAAAGCATAAACAACAGCTAATAGAGCATTGAGAATGATGTCTAGAAAAATGATACAATTCATATATTTATGTCTTAATAACAGCAGATTCAATCAACTATCTTACGCGTAAAGTTCTTCAACTCCTAAATGGCTTTTGAGTTGAAACTATATGCATTATGCAGACGAAAATCAACTATGAATACTCTGAAAAGATTTCGGGCTCTTAGCTTATTGCTGCATAGATATTGCTAATTTATGGTGATTTTTAAATGAATGCCGTAGTTCCTGTCAAAAATATCAGAAAAACTGATTTTCGAATTTTGACTCGAAATCTTGTATAGAGATAGGTCTTAACGAGAGTAGTTTCAGTTGTTTTGATTTGCTTTTATCCTTAGATAAGAATATCAAATCTGCCGATTTATATGAGCAATATGCAAGATACACTGTTACCATACTTGTATCTTAAAATCTAACACATTCATAATAAACTATTCTCGTTGAGAACTATCTCTATGAAGTGTTTCAAGTCAAAAGTCAGTTTTTCTGGTATTCCTGACGAAGACTATGGCATTCATTTTAAAAGATGCCGTAAAAATATAATATCTTCGTAGCAATAAGCTAAGGGCATGCACTCTTTTCAGTGTATTCATCGTTCATTTGGATCTATATAATGCACATAATTTCTACTCAAAAGCGATTTATCAATTGGAGATTTTTTTTTATTGGTGAAACTATTGATCTGAGCGTATCGAAACAAGTTCTTTGTTAACATTATGTGACAGGTATTTTCGAGTTCTTGAATATATGAAAATGGAGTATGTCTGATTGATTAATTAACTAGCTTGTGAAAGCATTTTTATGGCAGCTGTTAGATACTTATATGAACTGCCTGATCAAGCATCGTACTGGTATCTTGAAGTACTCATGTACTTAAACAATTTCTAGTGGAATACAAGACTAAGTACCAGTGACATACCAGTAACAGGAAACTTTTTTGGATACTCTGCTAGAGTTGTTTCAATAAACAAATACTGCCAACGAAGTATTATCGACTAGTGTGAATTCATAAGAATAAAATTTCCATGTTCTATTGTTTGATTGCAACGAAATTCTGAATTTATTTTTTTTTAGAAAATTTATTACAAATTGATAAAAGTATAATTAGATAATTTTTATGTAGCTGTTCTTTCTAAAACTGAAAACCTTAAATCGTAATACTATTGCGAAACTGCCTATAATTCTTATATTCTTTTTACAGACCACAGTATGCAGTTATTTTATCATTTCATTGTTTTTTGTTCTTCGATAGAAATACCAATGGATAAGAGAAATAGAAGTTATATTGTCTATGTGAACGATTTCGTGTAATATTATTCGATGTTCTTTAAAACAAATACTTGGTACTATCTTTCTTAAAGAATAAATGATGCTAACTTATTATACTGATTAGTATTCTTATGAGTTGATTTTGAAATTCTTTTTATTTCATTGCCTTTCTTGCCTACGAGACATTAGTTAAATAGGATGTACAACTATGCATAAAAGCAAACAAGTTGAATTTATTATTTTATACCATTTGAATATCATCTCTTCAGATTAATTATTCACCAGAAGTTAAACAACAAAGTATCAAGATCTCATGTTCGAGAACATAAAAATTTGTAAATTTCAATTAGATTATATTCAATAATGTTCATTCGACACAGTAAATTATCAAAATAAATAACATTAAACTTAAGTAAAGTATTCAAAGTATTTCATAAAATGCAAATACATGCAACACGTTATACATTCGTATTTAGTTATTGTCTAGATAAATAAAATATAAAGAGGAAATAAATTTATTCATAATTTCAATTTTTCAGACGCAATCTATATGTTGTTTAGTAATTAATTCTGAAACGAAACTAAATTACGTCGACAAACAATGTGATATGAATACATCATCATAAGTTTTATTTTTTTTTATTTTTATTCCTACGTCAGCTATCAATGACTACTACCTTTTTCTTTCAACAGGTAAATATAAAGCACACGTGTGGACTTCATAGGAAGATATAGAAAAAGGTACTTGATATTGTTGTCTAGAGTATTTACGACTGAGGAATTTTTACAATGAAAGAACAATATCTTTTTTTTATCTGAATCATTTTATGAAACCTTCAACTTAAAATAAATAATGGAATAAACCGTTTTTTTTAGGTAATTGTTACATTTTATTTTGAAAAAAGTGTGTAGTTTCATCATAGGTTACACTAATGTCCAATACGACAACTTTATCATCAAGTTCTTCATTAGTTCTTAATGAAGAAATGGATCGTATGTTTACCCTTTGTTCAAACATTTCCCAAATGGCTTCTCGCATACGACTTATGCATCTTTCAAATATTTCCTTTTCTTCGAAATATATTAAATTCTATCATCATGAATTATTATCAATGGCGGAAAATATCGAGGGTTCTGCTGTTTTACTTGAATCATTATTAGCTATTGAACAACGAAAACCTATTTCTATTCAAACAAAAAAATCAAGAAATCATTACACTCGAGAAGAACTATTAAGATTACGTCAACATGTTACACCAAGTTTATCTATTCAGGTTAAAAATTCATTAAATGAAGTCATTGAACGTGAATGTATTCATTCAAACAAACTGGGCACATATTCTGTCAGAAATATTCGGACAATTTTGCTTTAATATTATTTCATTTTCTTTTTGTTGTTGTTGAATATAGATCTCTTGCTCCACTCCACAAAAAAATCAACTTTTCTAATAACGGAAGTCACCTTTGACATAAATATATAGGCATGATCCCTACAGTGTCTAATTTGAAAATTCATAAAAATGAGTACCATTTTAAAAAGATTTCTCTATAATTCATGATAAATTTCTAGAACTCTCCAACGGAAAGGTTAATACGTAATTCTATAGGAAGATTATAATCATAATAGAGATCAAAACTGAATCGACTCGAACGTAACTCTCTTTATTAACTCTCAAACACGAGCAATAAAATTCACTTTAGTGTATAATTCATGTTCTCTATGTCTTGCGCTTTTGAAAACTTTATCGATCTCTGCGTAAGAAGTCTACTAATTCAACTATTACTTTTAGTTCCATTTAAAAAAAAGTCAATTTCTTTTTATTTAGTCTAAGATGGATAAATTTAAAGGAAACAGCTCCATGTGCAGCTATTTGCATGATTACGTCTCTTTCCTTATATCTAGTAAAATTTTCTGTTAGTTTTATGTAGTATTGATAACTACCAAGGAATCTGCCGATGTTTTGTACCTCTTTAGTTGATACGTGGATTGAGTTCTATTAAAGAGTGTCCCATGAGCTTTGGAGCTCAACGAAAATTAGTTTACATGTAAACAAAGACTGATCTTTATCTAACTATATCTATATGAGTTTTAAATACTTAGGATGATGTTTTAAATGGCATATTATCCGATGACATCAACTCTTTTAGTAGTGATGGTATAAGTATAAACAAAAGAAATGTGATAATTAGGGTGTGGATACAGAGGATAGCCACACTCACACCCTAAATATTACATATCGATTTGTATAATTGTATTAGGTTACATGCGAAAGATTCATAGTTTATCAAAACTTCTTAAAAAAGTACTGGTAGATTTTGAAATTTTAATTATTACTTTTTTTCCTGTTTATATCCGTATTATTCAAAGAGATAATGTCGTCTGATAATATGCCATTTCAAACACCTTCTTAAGTACTCGAAGCTCATATGGATATAGTTGCGTATGGATCACTATTTATTTTGCATATAAACTAATTTCTGTTGATGCCAAGAATTTATGGGGCATCCTTTATTGGTATGGTGGATGTTTGCTGCTTCGGTAGCATGATCAGCAATACAGTTATAAATAAATGTAGGTTTGATGGTTTATTACTCTTCTACCTATCGTGATTCGCTAATTGTGATGATAACTGATTTTAGAAGACTTGACTGAGAACAACATATGGAGATTTTCTTGTTCTGAGGCATCGGAATTATATCCGAACAAGATTACAAATTATTAACTGCAATGCAGATCATAGAATTAAGAGAGAGGGTTCGACTGAAAATAGAAGTTAGTTTACTCGTTTTCCTAATATGTGCGTCTTCTTCCAAAAAGAAGATAACTTTATCAACGCTAACTATGATAATTCAAAAACTACTACCTTTACCGATCGATAATAATAAATATTTCTTGTGATAATACTCAAGCTCTAATCGGTACTGTAGATTCATTTTGAAACTTTTGAATTTCTTCAAATTCGATAGATTTAGCACATAGACACATGAAAATCTATGTGAAATTTCATTATTTGTTTCGGTCTCTAAATCGCAATGGTAGTTATCATCTGCTATGCAGCTAGAAGGCCACTTGATAAGACTCTAGATGATCTTTTAATTGATACGTAATATAATTATATCTGATGCTGATGTCAGAAATTTCTACATGAAAATATACCAAAAAATATTCATACGTTTTTCTGGAAGTTGATTTTTTGCATAAATTGTTGAGTTTCGAACCAATTTTTTGTTTTCGTAGTGAACTACTTTTTTTTTGTATTTGACCCTCAATATCAAAGTAATCATTGGTTTTCTAGAAAATCTTGCTTAGGATTTCTGAAATTTGAAGGAATCATAAAAATGAAATAGAAACATAGTTGAAAAATCTTTTCCGTCATCCGAAGCAATGAGGAATTCTCTTTCAAATAAGACTAGCCCGAACACAGTGACTTGAAGTGTATTGAACAAACATTCGTATACGTGGAAGCGCTAGTTTTCACTCGGTAGCTACGGGACTCTCTTCAATAATAAAATTTTTTATTAGTGCACTTTCTTTAGATGAACATCTTCAGATAATGTTATGAAAGTTCCATTCAATGCATCAAAGATCGATTTTGTAGGAGAAGGAGGACCTTTAAGCATTTGAGTCCGGGATTATTTTTATATAGTCAAAATTTTTACTACATAAAAATAAGCCCGTACACGAATTAAAAAATAACCAAGAATCATCAGTAAGTATAGACAATCTTAACCTTCAAATATCCTAAACACAAATCTCCATGCAATTCATATCATTAAATAATCAACAGACCGTGGTTTTTAAAGTTATTCAGACACCGAAATCTCAGAACTCGATTTCGGGTTGTCTAAGCTCAAAGGGTTAACAATATTGTGATTTGTGTCAATAAATATAGACAGAATTCAACATTATTTCTTTAAAAAACATTATAAAAACGATGTCTGATTTTAAACTCAAACGTCTGAGTTGTAACTCGTTGCTTGTTTTTTTGAGGGGTGGCAGAATTTAAGAATTCTGTACTGTGCATACATTTATCATTGTTTATATCTACAATCTCTTCATATAAAAGCAGAATTATGTTCCATCATATACACTTATCTCTGCTAAGAAATCAAAATTCTACTTAGAATTTTGTTTTTTTTTCAGCAGAATTGTGCTAGAATTCTGATTTCCTAACAAATTTGTGCTTCATCAAATACACATATCCCTCCATCGCAATCAAAGTTCTGCTTAGAATTTTGTTTTTCCAGCAGAATTTTGTCAGAATTCTGAGTTCTGGCAGAATTATTGTTCATTACATTCACTTATTCCTAAAAGAATGAAATTTTTAGTTTAATGCCAATGTTGACGGGTTTCAGGAAGGTTTTAATCAATATATTTAAGAAAGCTCGTCATTAAGAACAATATAATGATTTGAATCATTTTGATATTCAACGTGCTGAGGAAAATATCACTCAGGTTCATTTCAATTTTTGTGATGAAGGACAACATAATGATTGAAATCATGTTGAAATTCCGCATATACAGCAAAATATCAATGAGAATAATGCCAACCTTTGTCATGAGAAACACCATAAATCATGTACCTACACTCATATCCGAATGGTGTTAACATTTGTCATTTAGATAAAGGGATAAGCCTACATCGTGAAACACGATTCTCCTAGGAACGTAGAGTTCTTATTAAACTCTGTTGTAAAAAGAGTTCTAAGCATAATGTTGATTTAGATGCAGAACATCAATATGATTTGAATCATTATGTTGTTTTTCATGACAAGGATTGACATTATTCGGATTGATATTTTCTTGTACATGCGGGATTTCAGCATGATTTAAATTATATATAAAAGAAATGAATATATATGTAGAATGAGTTTAATGTGTATGTACGATCGGCAATTTATATAGCAGAAAATTTTCGGTCTTTTGAACGGTAATTTTCAACTTTGGAATTGTTTGATGGACAATTAACAGTAAAGCAAAACCTAAAGATGGAAAGAATAAACATTGACACCAAAAGTGAAAAACGAGCATGTCCATAAGGTATAAACCAAAGATGATATAGGTGACTTCATGAGACATATGTATACATATAAATATATAATATCATGAAAATATTAATACCATAAAATGCTAAAGGATGCCGCCGGTTAAGAAAATTTTTGATATTTGAGATTGTTTGATATGAGTTTTGTAGAGCATTGAATGGGCTATCTTTCAATATATTTATTTTTTCTCAAGCCTTTGTAGTAACTGAGAAAGACTGAAAATAATGTTCTCAGGTATTGTTTGCACCTGTTGATGGAAAATGGTCTAATCAAAATAAACGAAAGATACCTAAGAACTTCTTTCATATGGCATTCGATAGAACTTTAAATTCTCTACAAAACCATATATTTCAAGTTCATCTACTACACTTGACTGTAACTTTAAAGGGAAAATCCTGGAAAAAATGTAGCATTTCTGAAAAATCATGTTTTTACATAATGGTCCACAGATCTGAGAAAAAGGTATGTTCCAATGAGATATTTACAGAAAAACTTCTTCAACACAGGGCTGATAGAAATATGAAAAGATTTCACAAAAATATTTAGGCCGAAAAAAGTTACAGTCAAAATGCTAAAGATATTTTGCGTAAAAAAGCATAAAATCCAATTGTTTTGCATTCAGATTTTGTTTGTATGTAGCTGTAATCACAGATTTCGAGGCATATTTGGCATCAGGATGAAAAACTGAGTCGAATAGTATGTGTTTCGATGTTTTCAATGGAACTTTTTTTTTCTCGAAATTCGTACCTGGAGTCCCACTCAGGGTTCAGTAAAAAAATAAAAATAGCGAATATACATTTTTTATCACTCAGATTTCTGTTATTTTGACATCTTAGCATTTTTGAGGAGACCAGAACTCATCTTTTACTGTTAGGATGATTTTCTAGTTAAATTCATTTTAGTTCATTGGTTGACTGAACCCTGAGGGGGACTCCAGGTACGAATTTCGAGAAAAAAAAAGTTCCATTGAAAACATCGAAACACATACTATTCGACTCAGTTTTTCATCCTGATGCCAAANGACCCAAAAGACTGTTCTCCGCGCAACAACATCTTTCCCTCCCCCCCCCCTTTCGACTTTTTCGTCTAAAGGGGGGGCCCGGGCCCCTCGCCCCCCCCCCCCCCTGCGTACGCCACTGATGAAGAATGAAGCCAATTATTGATTCTGTTGTAAAATCGATTCGCAAGTGACAGGATGTTAGTGGAAGCTTAAAATAATTCATTTCCATGTTTTGTCCTTGATGAGTAATGACTCCTTTTTGTTGACTTTCTAACCTATACCAAGATATTTAGGGAAAAATCGAATAATTGATAGAACTCGGCAATACGAACCATTGCAATAATAACATTCTATGTACGTCATTATTCAATCTTGTGTACACAATTATTCTAGTCAAAAGGGTTTATGAACTCTTTGTAGGATACTAATGGATATAGGTTGCTCGTATTTCTATTTTTACATGTTGTATATTTATGTATTTTGGAATGAATGACTATCATAAAGTGTTCGTCTTTCTGAAACAGGATTCTACTTCATACCGACCACTTTATTTCCACTATATTTAAGCTCTTAAGATGATATTTTTTTGTTCTAATCAAAATTTAAATTTATAGTTTGGATGTCAATGATAATATTCCTCAATGTTTAACATCTTATCATCGAATATCAATTCCAGAAAATTTTTCTATTGATCAACCATTAATTAAAATAAATGCAACTGATTTTGATTATGATGTTAATGGAACAATAAATTATTCTTTACGAATAAATTCTTCATGGCCATTTGAAATAAATTCTATAACAGGTGAAATTTATTCTCGACAATTATTTGATTATGAATCAGAATTTAAAAATTATTTAATAATTATTGATCTTGAAGATCAAGGTTTTCCAAAAAAAAATAAAAATAAAAATGCTTGTCAATTTGAAATAAATATTCAAGACGTAAATGATAATCGACCTGAATTAATTGATGATAAACAAACAAAAATTTTTATTGATCTACAAAAACCATTTAAGAATGAAATTATTCTATTAAATGTTAAAGATTCAGATTCAGATGATAATGGAAAAATCAAATATACTTTACTAACAGATGAAAACAATTCGTTATTTATTATTCATCAAAATGGTAGTCTACAAATGACACGTCAAATCAATGAAATATCTTTATTTGAATTAAAAATTTTATTAGGTAGATTTAAAATACTTTATTCAGTTCTTAAAAATGAAATTTATTTTATTCTTATAGAAGATAACGGTATACCATCTCAACAAACAATAATTCATTTAATTATTGCTATTGGTGATTCATTGATAACATCATTTTCAACATTTGAAAAAGTTCAATTAAAATATTCTCGTCCAAGAGCTATCGGTCTTATTTTAGGTTTAACAGTTTTAATAATAACATTAGGATTATTTTTATGTATAATTATTACTTGTATCTTACTTCAAAAACATCGTCGACGACATCAAGCTGCTATTATAGCGCGAAATAAACTTTTATGTTCATCATCACAACAATTAACATCATCTGGTTCGACAGCAACAACAAATACAACCTCATCATCAATTGAACATCAACATATAGCAAATATTGTTCAAATAAAACCAACTCATTGGCATGAGAAATATTATGATCAACATTCATCAAATTCTTTTACGGGTATATCTTTGCTCATTTTAAGAAATTTATTAATTAGATTTTAAAATTTTTAGTTGATACTTCATCACCTGAATCTCGAACATATAGAATTCTTCATATTCCTCAAGATAATGAATATTATATGCGTTATTATCAACAAGAAAAAGTAGATAATCATAGTTCTGATCATGGTTATCATGGAAGTAATGAAACAGGTTCATCATCATCACCTTCATCACAAATATCAATTCGTCGTTCATATATGGTTAATCAATTACCAGATTTTGTTACCAGATGTAAAAGTGTTAATGGAGGATTTCTTGTTGAAATGAATGTTGATGGTAGCGATGAAGATGCGAGATAAAATTTAATACTTTGTTCTGTGTATTGTATTGATAAATTAATCATGTTATTTATTATTTCTGTGTTCTAAGAAATAAATAAAAGTAATATTTTGTCAAATTAAAAGAACAACATGTCTTTTTTTATTCTAATCTATAATAATGTCATCTAGCGCATTAATAGACGGGTAATGCGCAAAAAAAATACTCAACAGAGAAAAACAATATAGATCTAATTGAAATGTATAGGAAAGTTTCTTTTTAAAGTAACAGTAAAAAAATTGTTCTTTATAAATATAGAGAAATAAAATGCAGCTGTAAAGTATATAAATGTGAACTTTTTTTATTGAAGATAATTGTGATATGTCAACATATATTGTATCAGATATCATTATTAGACTGATTGAAAGTATGCTTGATATTTTTTAATGAATTATGTTTGTTGAACGATTCATTTTATTTTTTAATTCATTCATGACCATTAATATCAATAGCAGATCGATGTGTTCCGAACGGGAGCGTTGTGAAGCCACCTCCTCGTCTTGAGAAATTTTCGTTTTTCCCCAGCAAAGCTCCAACATTTCATTCGTTATTTTTTAATCATCAATTGTCAAAAAAAAACGCTCGACCCTCTTCCCATAAATTCGATCAATTTTAGCGGGAATCTTCTAATCAACCACCCTATTTATCGACCACCTCGATCCTGGCAACCTGGCGATACCTCTGATAAAAGGATACAAATTCAATGAAAAAAAATCTTAGTTAAACTTCATTTTACTCATTAATTCAATATATGTATTCTTTTTAACAGCTGGGCAATATTATGTACTCCTGTGGGAAAATCATACGAAAATCGTGTCAGATCTTACAAGATCATAATTTCATGTTTCCTTTATGTAAAAAGTTTGTTTAGCAATACTTTTGATGCATTTGAATAAATGCTTGAGCGGTTAAATATCATTTAATTTCAACAATACGCTTTTTACAATAAAAAAAAATCTTCTGTATAGACGTCACACCACTAATCGAATTCATTTGACAAATCAATTAAGTTCAGCAACATTGTCAAAGGTAAGTATGATATTTATACAAATGAATAATTATTTTTATTTAGATTAATCTGAACAACATTGTTCGAAGGTAAATATAAATGTAATAAAATACAATTTCTTCTTATTGAGATTTACTCCAACAACATGATCAAGGATAAGTAATGAAATAGGTGAGTGAACAGTCTTCTTGATTTTTCTGGAGAACGGCTGATTAGATGGAAAAAACAGGATGCTGAAAATCATAGGAGAAAGGCAATAGAACAAGAAATTCAAGTGTAAGATGCATTTGAAGTATCTGTAAAAGCTTAGATGAATATTAAAAGATCTTACAATAATATCATACAAGAATCGTATTAGATAATTTTATTAGAACTGCAAATTTTAAGATTGTCATATGAAATCGTGCAAGGTTTTATAGACAGATTGTTTGGCTTAGGAATATATTTGATCTTCTTTCTAATTCTCCGATAGACTATAATATATCACTGATACTGTCTAATAACAATCATTTATTTTTTTGATCTACACTTTTTTCTCTCAGAATTAATGTTTAAAATTCTAGTTAATGGTTTTAGGATATTTTATGCAGATATTATTTTATATCTGATGAGAGTAAGTCATCCACAGTTTAATCACTTTTTAGTCAAAATCTAGTCGATTACAGGTAATCCACTATGCTAATTTCCGATATCAACACATTTATTATCGCTACGCCTTCAAAAATTCAGTTTTTTTTTAATGCTACTTTTTGTCTCGCGAAGAAACTTTTTCGTCAACATTTTTTTCTGATACGTCTAGTTTGTTGAATGGCTCAAGTTGAGTATATAAATCTGATGTTTTTCAAAACTTGAACCATTAAAGAAGAATCAGAGGAGTATAGCGTTTGCTGTTCTTGAACTTCCAGAGGTTTTCCATGCTACTAGATATCACTGCATTGAATATTAATTACTATTACATTACATTATGTTCTGTGATTATATTTAGACATCTATAACATACTCTGCAGTTTATCTATGAACTACGAATTCTGATCGTTTAAGATCCGATGACCGAAGAAGCTTCATAAAGCCTTCATCTTATTCAATATCTTTCTTAGATTAAAAACGATGTGAGTGTAAGACATGAATGAAGCGAAGTCTCTATTTCCTCCACACCATCTGCTTGTTGAAACCCAATGTTTCAAGTCCTCGATTGAGTTTCTTTGGAAGTGTTTCATGTCTGGCATACTATATTTATCGATTGGTAGTGCAAAATCCACAGACGAGTTTAATCGAACGACATAAACGGATTATCATCGTGCAGTGGTACAGTCTTCAGCATAAACTGCAAATTTTCCGTTAATCATAGACATATATTTAGTCATATTATTACAACGAAATTTGCCTTCTGATACACGAAGTTCTTCATTGGCTAATTTCACTTGGATGGTAGTCAAAATAAGCAATGCATCAGATCATTTTAGGTGTAAAAATTCATAAGCATTGCACCCTTTCAAGATAAATAGTCAGAGTGGAAAATCAGGTGCATGTTCGGCATAACAATATCGACTGTTGAATGTGGGTAAATTCAAAAGAAAATCATAGAAGAAGTGATGCAGAAAAGGCTCATTAGTTGAATGAAAGTTCTGCGATAAGTTAATGTAATATACGTATAAACCAATTCAACATTTCAAAAACAGATATTGTCGAAAAACCTTGGACGTCAAAATTAGTACATCTTCGTTGTTAAGATCAGGTACCATTTGTTCTTTGTTAATTAATACATTTGGAAGACTTTTCAGTTATTTTTTAATGTCGTGTCAAATTTCAATCTTAATTACGCAGCTGCCATCGGAACGACAGAATCTTAATTTTTCTTCACATCAACTGATTCGAGATAATCTTGTTCTAATGGTAAAAAAATATTACCAATCCCATAAAGTGAATCAACAAAACGAACACCAAGAAATTTAAAATACTCCAGAAGTGAAATGCAATTGTTCAGCTACGCTATTATCTTTTTCAAATGAAGATAAAATAAGTATAGATAGGATCAATCGCATGCATATCAAAAAGAGAGACAGCAAGACACCGAAAAATTTATTTTACCCAGCACAATTATTAATATGACGAGTAAAGAAATTTTCGATCCTTCTTTTGTTTTCTTTTGTTGTATACTATCAGTCTAGCTCATTGTCGAATAGAAATCATTGATAGCTGTTATGAAGAAGAAAAAAAATATAAATCTCGAGAGACAACAGTATTATCTTGTGTTTTTTTTATCATTGATTGAACTGTTTAGCGATTTGCTTCGAATGATCGAACAACTTGTTTTCCGATGAAGAAAATAATTCAATATCCATTATAAAAAAAAAACAAGAAAATTTATATTTATGCTATTGTACTTGCATTAGTGATCTAGCAGTTCAAACTCAGTCAAGTTTGTAAATGTTGCTGGTAAAATGTATCTATTGTATCCTATTCAACAATTGTTGAAGGTATTAAATAAATTATAGAAGTCTAAGATTAAAATGTTTAGCCTCCATCTTAACACGAAGATTATATTCGATGAGTTGAAAAGAATGCCCTCCAATACAATAAATGTATTAAAAGTCATTTTATGTTGAAATATGCCTGAACCGACAAAAACTAGAATATGATAGGCCACATGAACATGTGATCACAGTCTTATCGAGAGACGGATTTAACTGCATATGATAGTAAATACTGAAGACAGAATAAAAATTAAGGATATTAAGTGCACTTTTATTTTGAATACACCATTCTTCTATACATGCTTTAATAAGCTGATGATACTTAGCTTGATTGTTTTTTTTTGAAAGGTAGAAAGTAACAGTGGTATTGCCAGGAGATAAAGTAAAGGAACTGAATGAAGGAATTAAAACTGTTGATCGAGTCGACACTGAATGGATTTTTTCTTTTTTGCAATTGCTTTTTTGGGCATCTTTTAGGAGAGAATCAACATAATAATTGAGTGAGTTTTTAACTCCTGGTCTGAATGTAAAAGCACGATTTCTATTCTTGGAATCACATCATTTCCGGTTTTCAATTATGTGTTCGCTATCAAGAATGAAAAGGAACGACTCGACAGATCGAATAGCTTGAATTGAAAGTAAGTTAGCTTCATCATTTTCAAAAAAAAAATTTGTATAAAATGAAAGAAACGTTGATTTATATGTGTAAGAATGCCGTGTGGAAGCCATGATGCATCTAGGGAGATAAGTGTCGTGTCGATGGTAAAGAAGATGAAAGTGAACGATAGACACGCACAAGATAATAAATATGGAGCCAAAAATATTGCTTATTTTTCTTCGATAGAAAATACAGGAGAGGAAGAAAACAACAGATTGAACACTTGTTATATCAAGGTATATTAATTTATCCTTATTCTGTTTTTAAGATAATGAATAGCTATATAAAAAAAAATTCATAAAATCTTTGTTGGTGAAACTAAATAAACAGAAAAAATTAACTTACAAAGGTTTAAGGCGAAATGGATAGTTGTTCTTGTTCATACTTAGTTTTACTATATAGTGAAAGTTTTCTTGATTTAAATGAAGACAAGAATACGGACATAACTCATCATGAAATGTCACCAAAATCGACGAATAAAATAAAGTTTACATAAATTGACTTATTTTGCTGATTTATTGAAATGATTATTCAAAACAAACTGCATCAACCAACAGACACAATCTAGTGCGAATGTCAATTCATCATGCTTATTGGATGCTTTTTGTCAAAAACTTCATCCTTAGTTATAAAGCCAACAATTATAATTCTCAACATGTACAATATATAAGATTTTGTGTACTTCAAAGCTACAAAGACTTGTTCGAGAAGTCATATCTTTCTATGAACTTTAACAATCAATGGGTTATATTTATATATGGTAGAAATTATATTCTTTCTTTATTTTAATGCAAATCATGTTGAATTATTATCTTTTTAAATAGAACTTTCTGGAGAAAATGCTCTATGCTCACTACTGATCCTATGCCACTGTCTGTGACTCGTAACATTTTTTATCAGTGTTCAAACGATGATACTGTCAATGAAATTATCGACGGCGGACCTTGATCATTTAAATTATTGACGACATGGCTTTTCATTGTATAATAATCTGGTGCAGTTGATCCATATGATTGAATTTGGGAATGCCCATTTGAATAAGATTTTCCTAGAACATAATACGGTTGCCCAGAAATGATTTCACTTCTTTCTAAATAATAACGGTAAGCAATTGTTCCATTAGTGTCATAGACTGACCATCGGTATAATTTCATTATCAAGTTGTCACCCGGATAAAATGGAACAGGAAAAAAGAATTCTGCTGTTTCGACATAATATGGACCGATATCAAATATATCTCTACAAAAACTATCCAAGTTTTGTGGCCATAAATTACTCAAAGATTGTCTTAGCTCTTTCAGCTTTGATACGATGCGTTCAGCGCAAACTCGATCTTCTTTCACTTGCTTGTCATCATCAGCGGAGACTGATAGTTGAATTAAAGCTCGTGTACAATTACAAAACAATTCTTGGATAGCTTGTGTTAGTTCAGGGGTTGTAATTGTAAATTTCTTTTTCCAGTCTTGGCAAGCTTCATCGATAGTACGTAAAATGAGTTCTTTGTCGATCGAAGCTGGCATTACTTTGTCACTTTTAAGATGCTCTTTTCTCTTATACCAAAATTTTGTGTTGACGTCGTTAGGTAATATACTTGCTTGGAAATTACAAATATTTGTTTACGAGTGATACTCTTCATTGCAACGGGAGCTTTTTTTCTTTATAATTACCCAATTGATGAATCATCTTTATTCATGATAGCTGTAGAATACGTCAGAAATGCCATGCTTTTGCTTTATATCTTTCTCCTGAAAGAAAACGAACACACACGCATACTCACACTAAAAACCAAACAGATTGAAAGGAAAAGGCAAAGGTGAAGGATTGTTTTTCATGTTTGTTCTTTTCTTCCTTTAATTGCTAATATGCGTGTATTATATCGTTCCCTTTTGTTTCTTTCTTATATATATATATGTATAGTATAAGAGCGTGTTGTACTGCACATGTTCCTTACTTCAGAAGGAATCGTACTTTTAAGTTAAACTGATAGATTTTGTATATGTATATAAAGAGAAAAAAAAACAAATGTAACGAAGAAACGAAAAAAAAAGCAAAAGCAAAAGGAGTTTAAACAATTTTTAAGTTGTGAATCGTATCAACATGTGTTTATATAGACAGGGAACAGCAATAGCAAGAAATATAAAGTGAATGTAGCGACTAACAGCTATTGTACTTGTTGGTTGTTAATTCATATTATTCGATTTACCTCCCTTGATGATAAGGACGACGAATGAATGAATTGGATCAATGGTAGTCTGCATGTAGTTTATGATGATCAACTAAAAGAAGATGTTTTGTTTTTTGTTTATAATTAGGTAATAAATTTGGATGTTTGATGTTGATGTATAAGGACATTCGAGGGTGTGGGTGTGGATAAGAGTATTGGGTGGCTGGGTGAGGATGGTGGGGTAGTTAAGGTAAGGCCTACTCCTACTTTCACATCCACACCCACAGTCTAAATTGAAATCGGTGGTAATAGATGGAAATCTTTTGCTTATCTAACTTATTATGAACGTGTTATCTCCTCACTGCTTTCAGGTAAAATAATAAAGCCAACATGTTTCAGAAAAATTGATATGGCAAAATTTCTAGTCGTCTGGTGCTACAATCAAGCCACACGGATGAATAACAATATCTTTACTAACTGGTTGTACAAATTTGTTGCATTGATCGAAAGACAGAAAAGTAAAGTTTTGCTGTTCTCAGATAATGCATCTGTACATCCATCCCGATGTCAAGCTAAAGAACATTTAACTCTCAAATTCTGCTCAAGTAATACAACAACTCGTTTACAACCTACTTATCAAGATATAATTCACACTTTAAAGCTCATTATCGTAGACTACTTCTTGAACATGCCATTGCAAATGCTACCACTGCTTATTCACTTCATGATGTTGTTTATTGGATGGACTCTACTTGGAGATCCATCACAGCAACTACTTAACGAAATGCACTAGAAGAAACTGGCTCTGAGATTCCTATTTTTTCTCCAGACTCAACTTCGAGAAGAAAAACAATTTACCAATGAAGATATTGTTTTACAAGAAAATGCATGTCTAGACGAACTGGATAAAGTACTCGAGTAGTTATATATGAATGGTAACATCATGCCAGCTAATGATTTTGTGGTGAGTTTCAAATCATCATTTTGAACTTTATGAGACTAAACCCTTAATAATATTATTCTTGATAATTGGAGAGTGTAGACGACGACGTTCCGGCGGTCAATAAATGGAATGATGCTAGTGAAAAGACTTTAGTCATTGATGGTATGTCAATTAAAGACACATTTCATGATGAAGATTTGAGTATTGAACAATTACCATTATCGTTTGAGGCACTTAAGATAATTCATCATTTGCACTTGTTGTCAAATACATGACATCCCGATTTATATTCAATCGTTACACAACTATTGTCCGTTTCAAAATATAATGCGCTCCACTGGTTTTGCAATAATTCAACTAAGACAAGAGCTATAGAGCTGCGGTTTTCATCAATCGATAGAGGAGAGAAGGGGACGTTTTTTTTATCCAATATTGTATACGACGAAATCATTTTAAAATCAATCATTTTTGCAAACTATTGCAAAAATGCATGAAAATTGACCATCATTTCTATGAAATTTTAATAAAAAGTAAGAAAATTTACTTAAAACTTAAGAAAAATTCATTTTTTTCGAGGACCAAATAAACAATTTGTTTTGCTTAGTATTGCGATGTTGACAGATAATTATTCGAGTTATACCTTAAATTATAGAACTAAAGTGTCCTCTATCTAAATTATATATCAAAACCAAAATTTCATCGAAATGATAGCAAATTTTCATGCATTTTTCGCAAGAGTTTGCAGAAATGATTGATTTTAAAACGATTTCCTCTTATATAATATGGAATAAAAAAATGTCCCCGTATCTCCTCTATCGACTGATGAAAACCACAGGTCTGTAGTTCTTATCGTACGTGAGTTATAGAAAAAATAGTGGAGCGTATTATATTTTGAAACAGACAATACAATGAAAACTCATCGAGGTCTGTCTGACTTTGAATATTTCTAAACTACAATGTATTCGAGACTTTTTCAAACTTCTCTAAGTAGAATCGTCAGATAACATTTGGAATGGATTTGATTACTATGTAAAATATTTGAAATAATGAAAATTATTTTAACGAGAGAAAAAGGTAACAAGGCGGATTTTCTAATTTGTTCTAACTTGGCTTCCTCTAATAAATATGGTCATCCTGTTATACTGAACAATATTCGTTGATCCTGACACTGTTCACATTGGAGACGTTTTACTGTAGTTAATTAATCATTTAAGTGAGTTATAGAGACAGTCTGAACGAGATGGGGATTCTTGTCAGAGATGGATTTGAATGATTTAATTCCATTTTGATTTCTCATGTACATTTCTTTCTTCTTAAGGACGGTGCAACAGACCCTAAAAGTACAGCCAAAATTATCTTGATATCCATAGCACACGATCAGATACTCTCAGACTCATATACATATCATGTGTATATAAGACGACTCGCTGTGTGCACGACTTTTCGATCGTACATGAGTGCCAATAGAATAGGTATGAAATTCATTCATATTTGAATAGCATTATCTTTTCCATTGGACGTGATGTATTTGATAAAAAATGAAAAAGCATGATCTTTGCTAATGAGTCTATTCAATAGAAAAGCGTTGCACTCGATGATTCAGACGATCGACGACATAGAGATGACCGTGCCGATCAAAGAACAAACTTCTGGGGCTGCTGAGCTGATTTGCTCCTGCTCCTGAACCATTTCCGCCCACGATGATAGTGCCATGTTTTGCTCCTTTAGGCCAACGCATTACCCGATTATTTCCTGAGTCTGCCACATAGATGGTATCGAACTTATCGATGAACAGTCCGTTGGGATACGACAATTGTGTTAGAGCATCTCCCTTGCTGTGACTCCCAGCGACAATAATTCCTTCCTTTGCATCTTTATTCCATTTCATTACGCGATGATTTTCGTTGTCCGATACATAGACAGCCTGCTGTCGATCGACAAAGAGATAGGTTGGTTCATTGAGTTGATTGAGGCCATTACCATTGCCACAGCCACCGGCCACGACAGTTCCGTTCTTGTCGCCAATTCGGTATCGTCTTACTTCATGTTTCTTTTCATCAGAGATATAGAGATATCTCTGATTATCCATGGCCAAACCATAACAATGGATGTTACTCAGGAGGATTTCTCCTTGATTAGTACCGCTGCGACGGGACCATTGGACGACTCGTTGATTATCTCGATCACAGCAAATGAGATTATTCGTCTCTTTGTCGATCAATACATCGGTTGGACCATTCAATTGGTGCAATCGATTTCCTGAGCCATGACCACCAGCTACTACTTGTCCATACCTTTCGCCCATTTCCCATTGAACGATACGATGATTGCTCAAGTCAGCGATGATTATTGCTTGATCATCATCAACAAAAAGACCATGAGGATGCTTGAGCTGATTGACGGCGTCGCTCCATCCATTACCTCCAGCAACGGTTACACCATTCTGTGCCCATCTAGCATCAGGTGGAATATTGGGAACCACTACAATACCCGAAAAAAGAAAAAAAGAAATCGTCATTGTTGTCCAACTGATCACCCTCTCTCGTGGGTAAGAGCTACAAATGAGACCTTCTGCTTCTACGAAGCTTGTTATAACTTTCAAAAATGTGTTTGAGAGTTTTCAGAGCGTACTGTTCTAATATATTCGAGAAGGAAAAGATTTTTCACGAAATCTCGAAACGCTCATCCCACGGATGTAAATTCATGAACCTTTATGATTTCCTATCAAGAAATAATTTCGCATCGATCGTTACATCTGTAATACTTGCTTAATCTTGATCGCGTTTATTCCTTGACAAATCCTGGACGGATTTGTAAGGATCTTATATCGAGTTTTACAGTGACTCTTGCTTGTAGGATTACTCATGGGTAAATAGAATAATTATCAGGGTTTTTTCAAGTTTATGGTCTGATAGTTTTCTGAATAGAGAACATGGGGTTCTATCAGAGCTGACTCTTGATCCTACTTAAAACCTCAGCAGAATTTTCAGAGTGTTCAGCTAGAGTTTTATCAGTGTTTTGCAAGGTCTTTTGAAAATCCTCGTATTGAAATTCTTGTAGAACTAAATGCTAGAAAAGATAAGGATAGTAGAAAGAAAATAGCAAGCTTTATGAGAAATCCTAGCAAGATTTAATAAGAATCTTTCAAATCTGATGTATATCTCTCATCAGAATCTCCACTGTCTCTGCACAGTATTCTGTGCGGAGAGTTTCAAGAATAATTTTCATCACAAGATCTTCATGGGAATTTCAGTGCATATATTCACAAGATTTTATCAGATTACTGTGAAGATCTTGTCCTAATCTTCGTATTAGTCTGCTAGTAGGATTTAATGTTAGGTAGATGGAGATCCTAGCAGGAAAATAGCAAGACCTGTCAGTATCCCAAAGTGGGAAATCCTAACAGCACTCGATCGAGGTCCCAGAAATTGGATACATGCTCGTATCTGGGAATTTTTGCGCGACCTTTATCCCGAAACTTATAAGCAAGTATTTAATAGCAATCATCTCGAATATTTTGAAGAGAAAAACTGATCCTAATAAGAGTTCGGAAATGAATAAATAAGTTTGATGAAGTAAGCTCGATCGAAACGATTTTTACGACGACACTTGATAATTTCAATTTTGAACACCGACAAATCCAGCATCACGGTGATCCTGCATCGCCACCTCGGCACGAATAGAAGTAATGATGAAGCTTGTAGACGAAGCAATTGAAACCTTGAAATTAGGAAAGCTGTCCGAGAATATCTGTTTTAGCTGTGAAATGCGACCCGAATAGTTAGCAGAACTGTTTAGTAAATAACGACGGCACATGCAACAGGAGCACGAGCCATTATTCTTATTAATTAAAAATTAAGTTAGCAACGCTTCGAAAATAAATAAGAACCTAGAGTTTTGAACTGCTTTCTTAAAAACATCTGATGTACCCATGAATACTGTACAAAAAAATTTAAGCGTCTGGTGATGAAATTTGAACTTTTTAACCTTAAAGCAGCTTTCTAACCTATCGACTAGATTTCGCTGAGATAGATACCCATTCTCATATCACAATTCTCTTTTTAAAAAGGAATCAAGTTCAAAGAACAATCATGAGCAGCAAAAAGAACATGGGAAGAACTCAAAAGCACTAGTTTTAAATGATATTTTACACTCTTTATCCACTCAATCAAATTTATGTTAATAATTAAATTATTTTCAACTAATATCATTATTATCATTACAAATAAATTTGTTTGAAAATAATTTGGTTACAAGCCGACACATCCTTATCGTCCTCAACTAATATTTAAAAATGTTAAAAACAAGACGTGAATTGAATATGACATATATTTATCGAGATAAAGGTATAAAAATTGATTCTGTTATTAATGGATTTTCTAAATGTGTACTTATCGTCTAATTATCGTCTGCTTCTTTAGCTTTAGCTACTAATCATCTCGTAATTAACAAATGCTTTTTTTCAATGAATTGTCAGGTTTCACGGATAAAACAGATGCGAAAAACGTAAGTGCAAAAGCACCCTATCTGATTGATTTTGAAAAAAAAACTCGTAGGACTCGGAATACATTGTTTAGAAATCGCCACTGTTTCGCTGAAGTCCTGGATCTGTCACGATTTGCGAAAGTAAGAAACAAACGATGCCATAACAAATAATCTTCACTACATGAATACTACAATGGACAAAAAAAGGTATATTCTCCTGGTAAATTATATAGTAGCTGCATGTAGAAAAGAGAAATGAGGCAAATGGCACTGATCAGTCCAGCTCATATATTTTGTGGAAGTGTTGCCAGCATTACATTTTAATGCAGTATTGGAAACTAATTGGGAAAATATTACTTGATTGCATTTTCCGATGTTCGAGACTTCAATATGCCTCTGAGCATATATTGACAGAGACGTTTGTACAACCTTATAATTATTTGTGAGACAAGAAATATACTAAGCGTCTTATTCTCTTACAATCGTCCGATCTAGATCTACAAAAATAATTGAGAAAACTGAAGTTTTTCTGATCTCAACAATGTAAGCAGTCAAACTTGTTAAACATTCCGTCGGACATAGCAGTTTTCCTAATCATGAATTAATATCAGAGCAGCATCAATTACATCGTCAAGATAAATATACATGTGCAAGATGTGGATATGTACGGGTAAATGTGGTTGTGATAGCATTCGTGGGATTTTGGATCTTCTCTCTCCATTCAGATCCACACCGTCACATCCACACACCAACACACTCGACGATTATATTAACGATTAGCTCAATATCTGCACGTAATGCATTGAATTATCATGACAAATAGAAAATATGATTTTAAGAATATGTTTTCAACTCAGACAAAAAATAATGAAAACACTATTTTGATGAAATTCGGTTTAAATCAATAGAGCTACTTACGTAGAATTTGCATTTTATTCTCCAACTTGTTGACTTTCTTTGTAAGTTGTATTGTTCTCTGATCGATTTTTGACGTTTCATCTATTTGATTCTGGCTTGCTCTTTGAAATTTTCTGGCAAGTGTTGTCATTTGGCCATGGGTATATGCTATGTCATTTTTTTGTCTCACATTATCGTTCTGAATGTCTTGAAATTGGATTTTAAACTTTTCAATTTGCTTTCCAAATGGAATCAACTGCTGTTTCACTTTCTGTTCCATTCGCTCCCCTAGTTGAGTCACCTGTCCTTCAAGTAGTCTTTCATAATGAATCATTTGCTGTTTCGTTTGTTTTTCCAGTTGTATCTTTTGTTGATCCGCTTGCTTGTGGAGTTGTTCTATGCGTGAACTCTCCTGTTGGATTCTATCATTCAGCTTTCCAACTGCTGCTTCTAGCTTATCAAATTCACATGTTTCCATATGATTGCTCAGTTCATATCTATGTTCGAACCGTGGATTTTCAATATTCTTCATAAGACATTCCACTGTGAGCTTTTGGCAATCTTCATTGATGTGCTTATCGAAGTCTCCTCTGTATAAATTTGTTGCCTTACAATGCTTGCATTTGACTGGAAGCTTGTCGAGCATTGAAAAGAGAACACCTGGAGGATGTGCTATTATGTCGTCAGTGCACAAGAATTCACTGCACAACTGTGATGGACAAGACGAAGAACTCTTGAGATATTGTTTAATGCATAGACGACAAAAAGTGTGACCGCAATGGGTCATGATAGGATCAATAAAAGGATTTTGACATAATTTGCATATTAGATGAGGATTAATGCTCTTTTTTTCGATATATTCGTAGTCATTACTCGATGCCATCTAAAAAGAATAGGATGATCAAATTGAAAAAAGAAAGACAGTACCGGTCCTCTGGCTCTAAGTACCAAGTAATTGAATCGCTGACATATTCTTCGCAATGTCCTCTCTTTGTCACGATACTCAACAAAAAATAAGATCATCAAAAAAATGAATAGAACATTTATACATATTCTGATCAAGAGAGTATTCGAATAGATCGATTTCGTTCAAAAAAAACATATATTCCTGACAAAGGATTGGGTTCAGATTCTTTCAAATATATTCTGTTCATCTTCAATTATCAAATACGAAAAAAGTTGACTACATTCTTTTTCCACTAATGATGAAATTTGAAAACCAGAAGTAGTCGAATCAGATAGCCTTTGGTAATAAAAACATGTGAAATATAGTCTTAGGATTCTTTCAATTAGATTCAAAACTTTTATTCAATAAAAATCACGATAGTGATAAAACATGTGCAGCAATAACGACGACAAAGTTTTTGTGTTTTGCTGATGTAAAAGTGTAATACAAATGTTATGAAACAATATCTAGTCTTCAGCGGCTGTAACGACAAATTTTTGCAAGTGTATATAAATAACTATCTTTTATAAAACTCATTTTTCGAGATTGAATTCACAGCAAAATGGAAATGAGTGGACTGTATAGAAAAATATGAATTGATAGAGACTAAAAAAAGAATTTAATTACTATATGACCGTCGAAGGCGCGAACTAGAACTCGTTCAGTAAGTAAAATGAAATCTTTTTAAGAACACTTTTGAATTGTGCTTTAAAATGCAGGAATCTGTGATTACACTCATCTTCACTGACTGTTCACCTTGCTTTATGATGACGATTATGACTTTATTATCGAATTCAAGTTCATGAATGCTCGTCTTTTACTACTTCAATATCAATTGTATTACTATCACATATCAGCATATTGTAAACGATTTCGGAGAAGCGAGTGTTCCGTCGTTTTCAAACAAATGGTTTATGGTCGTAGTACAATCAATATTAAAATAGCAACGGTTGTAGATGTGGTTGAAGGAAGAGAAAACATGTATCTATCCCAACAACTATCAACTTACACTCACACACACCCTCCTACTTAATAATTCGATTGTATTTGCGCTACGTATGTGACTTTTAAATAATTTTGGTTCATTATTCAAGATATCCTAATAAATTGCTCACTGCAGTAAATAATTTTAACCACAACAGCGGCGAAAACTTCACTGGTGTGTTGTTGTCGGTTTTCGACTGAATTGTGTATATCACACCGTCGGTCTTTCTGTATCCAATGGCTCGTCAGTTACTTTTGTAAGATAGCAACACTTTACTTATCTTATCTTTCTTGTTTTTGTTATTGTGTTTGAGTATCTTTCCACTAGAAACTTTGTTGAGAACAAAATGACTTATCAAAAATAAACTATTCAAGGTGAAAAATATACAATGAGTGAATATAACCAAAAGAAAAATGTATTATCGCGCAAGAAACTTTGTTTTGAACAGAGTAGACACAGCAATGCACATTTCTCTATAATGTAAGATCGTGAACATCATTCAAATATACGCAACGAAAAACGATGATCATCTTCATTCACTATTTATTCAATTGCTATAATTATAGATAATTATTAATATGTGCATAATCTAGGAAAAGCTTCGTATATTATTTCATACTTGTATAAATAGAACTTATGTTAAGTATGAACATGAAAATACTTTTTAAGAGGATACAAACATTGATAATTTTCAATATACCGAATCTCACAAATATCCATCAAAAAAGTAAACTTAACCATATCTTACGCAACGCAAATGGTTTTCACATTTTTTAATAACCTGATAGCAAGTTCTATGAAGTTTGATTTCTTGTCATTTGTTTTAAACTGAATGTTGAAACTGATGACATCCAACTGAAACGCATAAATATGTTATTTTCGAAATATTAGAAATAATGAAGGTATATTTTGTCTTTGGACGAATTTATTTTCGTTATTGATACTCATTTTAAGTTGAACTTGATATTCAATAACTATTATGATATAGACATTGGATTTTACTTTATATGTTTATTGATGAACTAATTGAAATCAACAGCAACTCTATTGACAAATAATTGAATTCTTTTGATTATTACTGTCCTCTATCAAGCGTATCAAGTTTTACATATCTGAATTCGACCTTGTACACTCGAGTGTGGATGCAATGAAAAGAAGATTTTCACACATCTTTATCCTCATTAATTGATGCGCACTGAAGAATGAACGGAAACAGATATGCTTGAAAAAAAAAGAACGCCTTTCGAGCTGTATTCTTTATTATTTTGTTGACAAAAAAAAATCGAAAAATTATCAGAAAAAGGACTAAAACTCATTCATATTAAATGCTCCACTGCTATGTTGACTATGACTAACATTCTGTCGTGCATATACCTAATGATACATTTTCCTAATCATAGCGTAAATGTCTCTACAATGGACATCTATTAATTCGATACTTTTCAAACCTATTGTTTCTGTTTTCTTTCACGAATGTTTCTTTTCGACATATATTGATTATGTTTTTCGAAATTTTCAAACGAGTTTTTAAACTTTTAATAGATGCGACCAATGAGATTGAAGGAAATGAAGAATTTTACATTTTATTATTGAATTAATGAAACAAAGCTATGGCATTTTAGATGATGAAAGTAATTAAATCATTTTCATCTTTTAGTCTCGCTCCCTGTTAACGTGTAAAGAGTTTTTGAAATATTTGTAATTAATCTATTCCTTAACTTACTTGTTCATAATTAACACACAGCTGTTAACAGTCACTTAATTTGTTAATTTATATGACTAGTTGTTGCGAAAATAACCTTAAATATGCTTCTATATTAAAAATAAAAATTTGATTTTAAATTTTACATAAAGATTTTAAATGGGTGACCGGACTTTTTGTCACACGAACAAAAATGTTGCAAGATTTTATTGTACACTATACTTTTGTATAACCAATTAATTTTACAGAAAATAAAGGTAGTGAGTATTGCAACATAGTCAGAAGTTATTGCAGCCTTGAGAATAGAACCAATTTTGAGTTGAACAAGTATTGACAAGTTTACAAAACCTCGAAAGGTTTTTCTACAGGTATATTTGAAGAAATCATACTAAAAATTTTCTTAGATTGCATTACCAAAAGAAAATTTCGTAAGAGATATACGAAACATTCGTAATGTCACCGAAAAATTACATTTGATTGGGAGGATCCGAAAAATTTTCAAACAAACAACTCTTCTAATATACCCAGACGAAAGTACACAGATCAGAAGTGAGTATTCGCAAATGAAAGTTCATTTACGTCGATATCTACACGCAAACATATGAGTACACCCGCATACCCCATGCCCTCAATGATTCATCAGACATAACACGAATCATCGATCTTCGTATTATTTTTCAGATCATAAAACTTCAAACTATTTAAACATCTATATTCTGGAAATTATCCACGAAATAGTTCAGTACTACTGTATATCATCACAAGTATGAAACAATACCATCTTGGATATTTTTCGAAAAGTTTTATAACCTTCTAGTAAAATTTCTGCAAGGAAAATATGCTAAAAGATGCATCGTGATTAGGGCTACCACATATCTAAAATACCGACTAGCAGCTTTTACTTTACGAATACTTTGTTTCATAACTTTAGATCAGAAATTTTTAAGAATCGTGACTTTTGCCATGTTTTTTATAAGTAAGTCACGATGAACTAATATTTGGATTTTCATAACAGCTTTTTGTAGACTTTCAAATGAAATAATTAAATTCAAAATCTAAAACGATTTCCCCAGTTGACTCCTGCTTACGTTGGTCAGTGTTCTGACAGATTCTGTCTTAAGTGCATTTAGAATGAATTAAGAATAGAATTCTTTTGATAGGGAGGCAATATCAATGTAATTCAGATAAAAGATCTATGAAGAGTCCTATCATGCAAACTAATTAGTATACGATTCTGTTGTCTTTGAAATTAACTCATGCTCTTTTTTTATATATTTTTAATAAAGTTGAATATTTAATGAAATTTATTATCAAAATTTTGTTTGACAATGCAAATATTAATGAAGTAACTGTTATAGGCAAATAAACCCTAAGAAAAACTTCACAAATTTAGTAACAACTAATACTGAAAGCTGAAATGATCTATGGATATATGTTTGATAATATATTAAAAGAAAATAAATAAATAAATAAGATTGGAATCTGCAACAGTTTTCTTAATCGTTCGTTACAAAAATTACTTCTCATTTTAATGTTGACACACTTAAAAACACATATCAAACATGTGTGTATAATTTTCATGGTTTGTTATTCATTTTGCTAATGATTCTAAGTATTATTGATCGAATATTCAAGGTAGGTTTATTCGTATTTAAATAAAATCAAAATATAATTATGTTTAGTAATTGTATGAGATTAATTACTTTTATCTACTACGTGAGTTTAATTGATATTTTCTCTAAACTTTGTTAAGTATGGCATCACCATTGTATTCCCAATTGTTAAACCTCGTTATTCAATGAAACTGGAACTCGGAATAATGATAATTAAATTATTTATAAGTTTGAAACTTTATTAATCAATAACAATTTACGGTTTACGTTGAACTTTCGATAAAATATCACTAACAGACCATTTATCATATATTTCAATTATGAAAAGTTTATCTAAATTTTAATTTTTTTTTTATTAGAACAATTTCGGTGCTTAAATTAATGATGGTATGATACAACGATAAAGATCTGCTTATCTTTGTATCTGTCAGTATTTTTCATGGCATTCTCTTAAATCGTTTCCTTATTAATTCGATATCACATATGAGTTAAGGGTCTTTCATATTAAGTAAAAATCAAGTTGCAAACATGATAGATTAAATTTTTGCCCGATTTCATCCTTAATCAAAATAAACAAAATAAAAACATCATTATCTTTTAATGAGATAGAAGATATGCAATCATTCTCTTCGTTTAATAGAGCATCTATCAAATTTATGCATACGATACACACAATCAATTCATCACATATGATTCTATAAGAGAGTGAAAAATAACATGATGAAAAGAGAACTACTATTTTGCTTGTGTCAATGATATTCTCTTCTCTTATCTCTGAGTTTACAGACTATATAAGCACTGGTGACATAAATAATACGCTTTGTTCATAAGTCATATCATCAGATTGAACTAAAACCTTATTGTTTTGAAATTATGACGAGCGAAAGGTACGTATTGACAAATATGAAGATATTTATTAATTATTTTCAATAGGATGATTCATGATCCAAACGATCCAGAATTTCAAGAAGCAATGAAATATTTAGCATTGCCATCTGAAGAAAAAATTAAGCTTCGATCTCAACCATTTGATGCGAAAAAAGCATGTTGGATTCCAGATCCAAAAGAATCATTTATTGCTGCTGAAATTGAAAATACGAAAGATGATCAAGTAACAGTAAAAACTGGTAAAGGAGAAGTACGTAGATATTTCGTTTAAAATTCTTTATTAATAATTTATATTTATTATATAGATTAGAACAGTAAAAAAGGATGATGTTCAACAAATGAATCCACCGAAATATTGTTGTTCTGATGATATGGCTGATTTAACCCATCTGAATGATGCTTCAGTTTTAGCTAATTTACGTGATCGTTATTCACGATGGCTTATCTATGTACGTATGTCTTGCTATGCCTTTATAAAGTCTATGGATTTTTTTATTTTTTAAGACATATTCTGGTTTATTTTGTGTTGTCATAAATCCATATAAACGTTTACCCATTTATACTATGAAAGTTGTTCTTGCTTATCGTGGTAAAAAACGTACTGAAGTTGCTCCACATCTGTATGCTATATCTGATAATGCTTATTCAAATATGCTTCGAGGTAAATATCTTAATATAAACAAAGTTCTCTTATCATACGACTATAAATACAAAAAAATATATACACCACTTGGAAATCATTTAGTAAAGATATATAGCATATGTAAAAGACAAGAGATATTACTTTCATAATAAAATTAATTGCATGTCTAATAATAATATTATTTTAAATATGTTGGAGGAAAGTGATTGATAAAAACATATGGAATATGAGAAAGAATTAATAAGATATTTAAGAGATTACTGAGTATACTGCTATGTTTTACATTGATATGAGACGTCGAGAACATAAATACAGCGAGATCATATGACAACAAAAAAAGATTTTCACTACAAGATATATATAAATCAAGTTAATTGAAATTGAAAAATAAAGAAATCGTTATGGAATGTTAACTATTTACAAACTAAATTTGTTATTCAATTAAATATTCTACAGTTTTGTCTAAAAAAATATAGTTCACAAAATATCAGATTTGAAATCTCGAAGGTTATGGGACTTATTTTCAACAATTCGATTCAATACTAAAAGATTTTATGTGATTGTAATAGTTATTTAAGCGCACTCCAACTTTAAAAGTGTTGAATTTCGTGAAAAAAAGTGAATTTTGATATAAATATGTAATTGAAGAGTCTGAAGTGTATATTTTAATAATCCGTATGACTTTAAAATTTCATTCTTTAAAGAAAGTAGAGTTTTTACAAAAACAGGCTTTATTTTAAAAAAATCATTTTTCGTAACAAAATCAGTTGTTGAGGGTAGTGCAAGGTCAAATAGTCTGAAGTTTATGCAATTCAGGCGAAATAATTATTAATAAAAGGATAAATTTAGACGAATGCTTTTTCTTCAAAGATTTTCATCTTTCACAATTCCGTTACCAGAGTTCGTATAAGATTGCGGAGTGTGTGTGAAAGTGTATTTTTGCGGGTTGCTCTTCTTTTAGTTCACAACCACGCACGCACATACACATGAAGTGAAAAAACAATATCCAAAAATAAACCAAAACAGATGACGGTATTTTGACACTTAGAATCTTTAAACACTATTCGATCAAGTTTTATAGGTAATATATCGTATGGGTCTGTTCATATCAGTTTAAATTTCGTTGCTGGGCAGAAAATAGTTTTAAAACTTATTTGACTTTTTTTCCACAATATGGCTTTGATAATGCGTCCTGAGCGGCTTTTCGACATAGTAGCAGATAAAGTTTAATACTTTTTTTTGTCTGAAAGCTCGTATTTAGCATTAGCAACTTTCATGATTCTTTTTCAAGAAAAAAATGTTTCTTTCTATCAAAATTTGGCTATTTTCATAGAGGATAGCAATTTTATTGATAAATTATTGACTTCATATCTGTCTCAAGACATAAAAAATCAAAATCACTAGGATTACTAGATTCAAATGTCTTCAAAAAATTGACTTTTTTCATTGAGATGGCCAGATATCGTTGAAGATTCCAGAGCCCTCAAAATAGATATTATACATGTACTGAAATTATCGTAGCACTCACCAAGAAAAAAAAAATAAGACTGAAAGTCTTATTTTATGTATGCCTATGCACTATTAATATGTGTGCAAAGTTTTAGTTCAATTGCATGTCCAAACTTGGATATCCTAGCGTGAAGGAACGGACAACTTAAATAAAAAACGATTCGTTAATTCCTCACATGACTATGTTTTAATATTTGCAATACATTTTATCGTAAGAACATGGATATCTAATCCTTTGGACAAATGTCTCTTATTCGACAGTAACGATGATAATATTTCTATCTTTATCAGTATTTTCAACAGTGCAATACTGAATAAATAATTAAAAAAATTAATTAATAATCATATTTAGATCGTGATAATCAATCAATGTTGATTACAGGCGAATCAGGTGCTGGCAAAACAGAAAATACGAAAAAAGTCATTCAATATTTTGCCTTGGTCGCTGCAGCTGGTGCGAAAAAAGAAGAAGGAAAGGTAATAAAAATCAATAGAAAATAGCATTATTCTGTATTTTATTTTCATGATAAATAAATAGAAAACGATGACACTTGAAGACCAAATTGTATCAGCTAGTAAGGAAAAATCTTGCTATTGTCTTGATTATCATCTAAATCTACCGATTTTTCGTAGATCCCGTATTAGAAGCTTATGGTAATGCAAAAACTACTCGAAATAATAATTCATCTCGATTTGTAAGTGAAAATTGATTCTTTAGTTTAATATGGATTTATTGATCTTTCATTAGGGTAAATTTATTCGTATTCATTTTGGTAGTACTGGAAAGATTGCTGGAGCTGATATTGAAGTATATCTATTAGAAAAATCTCGAGTTATCTTTCAGGTAGGTTAATTTACGTACGATTATAATAACTTTTAATTTTTGTACAACATGATCTGTGAGAAGTGTCTAAGTATATCAGTGCAAATTCAGACACCTCCCCATCCCTATAACAGACCATGATGGACGTTGTTGGTATACGATTGCACACTGTATATCTAAAGTGTCTTGTTATAATATATGAGATGATTACTTATTGCATTTCTTGAGGATTAGCATAGGCAGTAGAGTCAGGAGACTTTGGTAGACTTGAGCCTATCTTGTACTGGATAGAAAAAGGTTTAGATAGGCTCCATCTGATGTAAAAAATTTCTATTAGTATGTTAATTTTCATTTTCTTCTGATAGATGACACGTTTTTCCAAGGTACATGCACATTTTATCTGCTATCAACTCGTACTCAATAAGTATGGGTGGCAAAGCCACAAGGCTTGGCTAGACCTAAGTCTATCCTAGATTCGCACTTCGTAAGCTAGGGCAAGCTCAAATACTTTTCTTCTACCACCAGATTAATACATTTGAACAGTGTATCACATTTTTTGTACAGACATGCCAATATTTTTCGCCGCTTCCATTGGCTAATAATAACATTTTCTGAATCAAATAGATTTAGAAAATATTTTTCGAGTAAAAATTGAGTTTTGTACAAGCAAATATTAGATGATAGATTGACAATGACTAGAAATGAGAATCCTTCATTAAAAGTGAAGAAAATTTGTGCGAATAAACCTAAGTTAGATTAACCAGAGTCGATCACAATTTTTCTTCGCCTTCGATTACCAAGAGTACATGCCTATTAAACATTTTCAATAGTGAGGAAGTTTCGAATGCAACATCTTTGTTTTCTAAAACATTTCTGCTTTGTCATTGAACTTTTATTTGATAAGATAGACCAAAAGTTCTTCTTTCGAAAGTAGCATTTTTCTTGAAATGCACGTCTTTTTACACAAGTTGTGAAATTGTTTCCTGATTGGCATCATTGTTACATGTTGCAAAATGTGAGTGCAATAAAATAGACACTAGCTATATTTCATCTAAGTGACATTCAAAACGTCGTCTTCTCTCATATTTAACTTCCAGACAGGGATCCTATAAAACATGTTGAGTTTATCCTGCAATCGAAAGGTTCTACCAGCTATGAGGATTAAATAAAAGGATAGTGAAGAAATGTGTGCCAAAATCGATAGGAAAAAAATAATCTCGGAGTAATTTTCAATAGTAGCTATATCGTGTGTCAGATTTTTATTCCGTACGAATTGTGCTAAAAGTTTTTTTTAATTTTATTTTAGCAACCAGGTAAAATTTTAATTGTTTCTTTAAAACTCATCATTGATGCATCTTTTAGCTGAACGTAACTATCATATATTCTATCAACTTTGTTCAAATGCTTTTCCTGATTATCACAGTACGTGTTGATTTTTTTAGAATTTTTTGATTGAATCTATATTTATATTTATTCAGAGGAATGTCTTCTTGAAAATGATCCATCAAAATATTTTTATGTTGCTCAGGGTATGCTTACCATTGATAATGTTGATGATGCTGAAGAAATGCGACTTACTAATGAAGCATTCGATATTTTGGGTTTTACTCAGGTTTCTATTAATAAGAAACTAATGTTTTAGAAAAATATTTTTTTTGTTTTGTTTCGTAGGAAGAAAAGGTTAATTTATTTAAATGTACTTCTGCTATTATGCATTTTGGTAATTCTCAATGGAAACAACGACCTCGAGAAGAACAAGCTGAAGCGGAAGGTACACAAGAATGTGAAAAAGCTGCACATTTACTTGGTATTGAAGCCGCTGATCTTATTAAAGGATTACTTAAACCTCGTATTAAGGTTTGATTGTATTTATTTTTTCTTTAGTTTTTTATCAGAATTGAATATAGGTTGGAAATGATTATGTTAATAAAGGTCAGAATAAAGATCAAGTAATTAATTCAATAGGTGCTTTATCAAAATCAGTATGTTAAAAAGAAAAAAAATGATAAATAGAAAATATATTGTTTTATATCGTAGATTTATTATCGTATATTTTGTTGGTTAGTCGAACGTGTTAATATAACACTAGATATAAAAGCTAAACGGCAATATTTTATTGGTGTACTTGATATTGCTGGTTTTGAAATATTTGAAGTAAGGTATTCGAAAAATTCATTTAGGAAGAAAATATTCTTTTTTTAAAGTATAATGGCTTTGAACAATTATGCATTAACTATACAAATGAACGTCTTCAACAATTTTTCAATCATCATATGTTTGTATTAGAACAAGAGGAATATAAAAAGGAAGGTATACAATGGGAATTTATTGATTTTGGAATGGATTTACAAGCTTGCATTGATCTAATCGAAAAGGTTGAAAACATTTGTTTTTTCGTTTTTTATTTTATTTTATTTTATTCTAGCCTATGGGAATTCTTTCTATTCTTGAAGAAGAATGTATTGTTCCTAAAGCTACAGATAAGACATTTGTTGAAAAACTTTATAATAATCATTTGGGAAAGCATCCACAATTTGGAAAACCGAAACCTGGTAAAGGTAAAGTTGAAGCACATTTTGAAATTCATCATTATGCTGGTACAGTTGCTTATTCGGCTACATCATGGTTAGAAAAAAATAAAGATCCTATCAATACAACTGTGTATGAAATATATTAAATTATAGGATTCTATATATCATAAAAACTTCTTTTGATTTTAGTGCTGGTCTTTTTGCGAAATCAAAAAATGTTATGTTAAGTCATCTCTTTGTCGATTCAATTGAAGATGAAGGTGCTAGTAGTAAAGCAGCTGGTGGAAAAAAGAAAGGTGGTGGTAGTATGCAAACTATTTCTGCTACACATCGTGTAAATGTTTGGTTTTTTTTTGAGAAAACAAATTATTATATTTTTGTTCTTTTCATTAATTAATTTTTTTTTTGTAGGAACAATTAAATAAATTAATGAATAATTTAAAACAAACTCATCCACATTTTGTTCGTTGTATTATTCCAAATGAAATAAAAACTGGTGGTGTACTTGATTCACATTTAGTTATGCATCAATTGACATGTAATGGTGTACTTGAAGGTATACGTATATGTCGTAAAGGTTTTCCAAATCGAATGATTTATTCGGAATTTAAACAACGTTATTCTATTTTGGCACCAAATGCTGTACCAAAAGGTTTTGTTGATGCAAAACAAGCAACAGAAAATATTCTTAAAGATATTGCATTAAGTGAAGAATTATATCGTTGTGGTACAACAAAAGTATTCTTTAAAGCCGGTACATTAGGTCAATTAGAAGATATGCGTGATGCTGCTTTATCGAAAATTGTAGCTTGTTTACAAGGACAAATACGTGGTTATCTTATGAGAAAAGAATATAAGAAAATGCTAGATCAACGTTTAGCTTTATCTGTTTTACAACGTAATTGTCGTAAATATTTATTATTACGTAATTGGCCATGGTGGAAATTATTTACAAAAGTAAAACCACTTTTATCAGTTGCAAGACAAGAAGAAGAAATGAAAAAACTTGAAGAAGAATTTAAAGCATTAAAAGAAGCTTTAGAAAAAGAAGAAAAATTACGAAAAGAAACGGAAGATAATAATGCAAAATTGATCCGAGGTTAAATAGAAAAATAAATAAATAATTTACTTTATTTTATATATTTTAGAGAAAAATGATTTATTTCAACAATTAGAATTTGAAAGAGCTGGTGCATTAGAAGCTGAAGAACGTTTTACTCGATTAGGTAAAATGTTTTTATGAATTGAATCTAAAGTTAGTGAACTGCAGAAAGTACATGCTACTGTCAACAATGAATTTGATCTACACATTGTTTGTGCAATTTTGAGAAGTAGAATTCATCATATTAATAAGTTTTGATTAGATCGACATTTGTCAAGAAAAGGAAGGATACCCGTTCTTACGACTATTTGTCAAGGTAGTTTCATAAAGTCGATATATAATTTATATAGTATACAAGTTTCTAGAATGATTAACTACTCTCATTTGAAAGTTAATCTGTTGTAGACTTCATGTATATTAGTGCAAGACCGCGTAGCACTTCATAATGTATTATAGAATGTTCTCGAATGAGTGACCTATGATGATGTATCGTTGTAAAGCGAACAATTTATGTTAGAGTCTATAAATTATATTATTGAACGAATAAAGTGAGATAATAGATATGTATAGTCCAATAATATATATTGAACAATATTATTTAATTTATTGATTGCTAATTTATAAGAAGGAGGAATTCTACTATAGAGACCGGAATCGCATGAAGATGCCTTTATTCGGTGTGTTCTTCGAATTATAAATCCATCGGGAAAAAAAAACAGAAACAATCAAAAACAGAAGAACTGGAAATATAATCAATCGCAGCTTGATCAATACGGACGAAATACAGCAAAATCTGTTATTGAATGAAAAAAAAAGCAAGATAAAGTAACAATTATCAGCTCCTAGTATTTTGCTAAATGGCAGCTCTCACTATCCTATTTGGGTAGCTATTGAGTAATAGTAAAACAAGATAAAGCCAAGACAAGACTGAATGAAAATTGTTATGCAAAAAAGTAGAGAAGTTCGGAATGAAAGAACAAAGGCTCGAACCTTCAGGTGTAAATAGATAACTGTCACTAATTAAAATTGACTTAATAATATTATGTAAAACTCATAATTTATTCAAATAAGTTATAAAGATAGACAAGAAAAGAATAGCAGTTTAGAAGTTATAATCAAGGCTGTCTATTTGTTGTAGAGAAAGATGCTAGTTGCGAATGAGTAGTCATATGATGTAGACTTCTACTATTAATTTAAATATTCTTTGCTAGATTGAATACTTTTTTGATAGTTATTCATTTACAACTTCATAACAGTATTTTACTTCGATAAGTTTAATAATAAAAAAGAAATTTTAATTTTTAACAATAGACGTATATCAGAAAACATTACATATTTGTAATCATCTAAATATTGCTGAGAGATTTTTGCCTATTAGTTTTTATACATTTATTCAAGTTATTCCTTTCGAATAAAGTTTTCAGCTAATTGTCGTAGCGAGCAATTTTCACTCGTCCAAATTTGCTAAATACACTCAGTGCACAAAATTCCGATCTTTTCGGCGTCAGTTATATCATTGTTCTTAGCTTCATTAATATCGAACTTTTATGATTCCTTTTATTACATAAAATCTACATTCCATTGTATTTTTCGTTTTAAATAAATAAATGATCTCTGAATATGTATGAATCGATCAAATACAGAAAAGATGACTTGAAGAAAGAAATAAAATAATGCATCGTTTGTTAAACAAAAAACATTAAGTGTATAGGTGGTAATATATGCAAAAATAAAAATATTCTTTTTTCGTGGCCATGTGAGTCGAGTTGAATTCGAACGAAGTTTTTTTTTTTTGTTCGTCTAGATCTTTGTTCTATTATCTCGAATTAATTATACTTCTACTCATCTCAAAGCATTTATTTTTAGTCACACAAAAAGCTGATCTTGAACAACAAGTCAGAGATTTAGAAGAACGTTGTAATCAAGAAGAAGAAATCAATCAAGAAGTAAACAATAAACGAAAAAAAATGGAGCATGAAATTGACGGTTTAAAAAAAGATATTGATGATATACGCTTAAATTTACAAAAATCTGAAAATGAATGTAAAACACGTGATAATCAAATTCATAGATTACAAGATGAAATTGCACATCAAGATGAAACAATTGCAAAATTAACACGTGATCGTAAACGTCTTGAAGAACAAAATTCTAAAGTAACTGAACAATTACAAAGTGAAGAAGATAAAGTTAATCATTTAAATAAAATAAAAACTAAACTTGAACAAACACTAGATGAATTAGAAGATAATTTAGAACATGAAAAAAAAGCTCGTAATGATTTAGACAAAAACAAAAGAAAATTAGAAAATGATTTTAAAACATTACAAAATAATTTTGAAGATTTACAAAAATCAAAACATGATTTAGAAGAACAACTTAAACGTAAAGATCAAGAAATACAACAAATGAATGGACGTATTGAAGTTGAACAAGGACAAACAACTAATCTTAATAAGAAAATTAAAGAGTTACAAAGTCGTATTGAAGAATATGAAGAAGAAATTGAAAATGAAAGACAATTACGAAATAAAAGCGAAAAACAACGAGTTGATTTAACAAGAACAATTGATGAAATGAATGAAAGGTTAGAAGAAGTCGGTGGTGCAACATCAACACAAGTTGAAATGAATAAAAAACGTGAAACAGAATTAGCTAAACTTCGTCGAGACTTAGAAGAAGCTAATCTTCAACATGAAGCAACAACTGCACAATTAAGAAAAAAACATCAAGATGCTGTTAATGGTAATTTTTATTCATCTATTTTTCATATTTTTAATATTTTGTGAAACACGATCTGAAAGAAGTATTGAAGTATATAGGGTAGGAATTTTCAACTCTCCCTCCTATTACAGACCTTGACAGGTGTAATCAACAGGCATCATAATACGACTAAGCGTTATGAAATTTCTTTTTTGTTTTACATTGTAGCATCTATTTCTCGTCAATGACAAAAGTAAATTCTTTGAAATTTTTATTATAGATGGAGATCATTTAGATCTACTATAAATTAAAATTTCATCGATTAACCTTTAGCTCGAGTTGAGCTATTTAGAAAATACCGGCCATTACATGGAACTTTTTTTTTAACGAAGGTGAGAATTTAGCATTTTTCTACGAAACAAAGCGATCGATGAATCAATTTTCTGTATAATAATTGTTCAGCTTTTAATTAGCTTTCAAAATATGAGGTCATTTATCAACAAGCATAACTGTATGATATAACAAACTAAAAATAATGTTCGCTATGAAATTTCATTTTTTTAACCAAAAACCACAATTTAGACCATGATGAAAGCAAAACAAGTTAAAAGTCACCTGATACTCGTCACCAGCATCAGATTTGACATCAAATAGCGTATTTTTCACTACAATCCTATGAGAAAAAGTGTTTATTAACTAAGTACTTCATTTTGTTCACAGTTCAATAGAAATTTCGAACATGTGTAAACTTATGAACAACAACAGTGATAAATATTTAATGGTCTGAAAACAATACAAGATTTAGATACTAATAAAATTCTATAACGCAATATTTTTAGAAAATGGATGCGAATATTAAACCAAACTGTGCTCAAAATAGATTTGTTCAATGAAGCTTGCTGAATTCTATCAGGAGACGAGCAACATCAACGAGGAAAATATACTATAAGCGAGTTTCTTTACATAATTTCATCAAAAGTGCAGATAGTTTTTGAATGCATTATCTTGATTCATATACATCTAACATTTGCATGAAGGTCATATGTTGAAAGAGTACTTTGTAGTCGCCAAAGAACTCTTTTTCTATTTATTGATCCTTGTTTGATGATTTATTTCATTACCATGTTTTGCACAGTTTTTTTCATTTATCCACTCCAAGAAAAATTTTGCGTATTCAGATCATTCAATTTCATTCAAGAATAGTAAAGGTTTTATTTCAAATTCCACTGATCGTTGTGTTTTCAGTGAAAGACGCAGCTTTCTTCACTTTGAAGTTCAAACCGTCCCTAAGTACCCATGACCGATGGCTGTCCATGCCAATGATAAACAGTTTAACAAAGACACATCACAGACAAAATAGATACCTTAGTAAGCCCCTTTCCTACATTGTGCATCTAGGTGCATATTTGGATAGAAATAAAAATTACAACTTTTCAAGATTTAAATATAGGGAAATATACTTCAAAATATTGTCTATCTGAAGGTCTAAATTACTTTGTTACAATCCTCAAACAAAATAAGAAACTAGTTGCCCAAAAATTCTCATGAAAATCGTGATATTATCAATACAATTGATATCTGACAAAAGTAAACTTTTTCACAGTCATATTAAGTATACTTTCTCAATCTTCAAACTGAGATCTGTACAATGGTAAAAGATATTTTTTACTAGTATCGTCTGAACTACTATTCCCACAAATGAGCAATCCACCTCCATCCTACCTTCAAATTTTGCTATAATTTTCTTCTCTCTACTGTCTCTTGTATCTGGTTAGCGCAAACATTGTCGGATTATACATTGAGCTTCTAAAAAATCTAAGTTTTTCGGGCTTTAAAAAATATTTAATCGATGACAATACTATACTCTGAATGAGAGCATTAAACTGCGTGAATGATGTATAACACAAAACAATTTTGAAACGAAACTTTTTATCAAAAAGATGAGAGCAATGATTTCCTCAGACATTTTTAGTTGACAAACTTTATTCCCGAAAAATGTTTTTTTTTCTTAAAAATACTTTTTTGTGTCATATTCCTTACCGAATAAACCTGTTTCCTACTAAGAAAGTTACATGTCCACTTGCCATATAACAACGCACACTATGCTTCTCTTCTCGACCACCGACTCTAACAGACTTTACTGAAATAGGGTCAAAGAACTTATATCAACAGCGTCTTGTTATAATATATCAACTGCTCTTTGTTATTGCATTTCTAGAAGATGAAGTAAGGGGTATGGTGAAGACATGTGTCCCAAAATAGATAATATAAAATAATATCCTTGTGATTAGCAACATCGTGTTTCACATTTTAATCTCGCAAGGATTGCACTAACAGTTTGTTTTGTTTTGAAAGAAATGGGAGATCAAATTGATCAATTACAAAAATTAAAAAATAAATTAGAAAAAGATAAACAAACAATGAAATCAGAATTAGATGATCTTCGTACACAAATTGATTATATACAAAAAGGTAAAATAGCTGCTGAAAAACTCTCCAAACAACTTGAACAACAATTAAATGAAATACATATTAAACTTGATGAACATGTTAAACAAATTACAGATATAAATCATCAAAAATCAAAATTATCTAGTGAAAATTCTGATTTAGTTCGACAACTTGAAGAAGTTGAACAGCAAATTAGTACTTTAACAAAAGCTAAAACAACAGTACAACAACAACTTGATGAAGTTAAAAGAACAATTGATGAAGAATTACGTGGTAAAGGTTCAGTTAGTAAGTTGAAGTTTTCTTTTGAAGATTAAATATTTCTTTGAATATCTATGGAGGTTCACAAATACGTCATTTAACTGCTGATCTTGAGCAAACTCGAGAACAACTTGAAGAAGAACAAGAAATGAAAAGTGAACTTCAGCGACAAATTACTAAACTTAATATTGAAATACAACAATGGAGAGCACGTTATGAATCTGAAGGTTTAATTAAATAAATCATTAGTTTTATTTCTAAGAAGAAAATTGTTCTTTTGTATTTTTAGGTATTACTCGTAGTGAAGAACTCGAAGAAGCAAAACGAAAATTAGCTATAAAATTATCTGAAGCCGAAGAACAAGTTGAAGCAGCATTGAATAAATGTAATGCTTTAGAAAAAGTTAAAGCTCGTCTTCAAGGTGAAGTTGAAGATCTCATGGTTGATGTTGAACGTGCTAATACAAGTAAGTATATTTTAACTTTTTACTATGTCGAACTATTTTAAAAAATATTTTCATATGAATTTTCTGAGAGCAGAAAACTTTTGTTCTAATTTTAACAATGATTTGTATGAAAAAATTAATCTAGAACAATTTTAACTCAATAGTTTTGATCAAATAAATCAAGGAACTGTTATCGAACTATGATATCTATAGAAATATTATTTGTGATTTCTAATGATGCATAAGATGAGGTCAGGAGTAAATAAAATTTCTTAAGTCTTGAGTTTTCCTGTTTTATTTTTCTTGCAAACGACACTTATGATGATTGGAAAATGATAAACAATATACTAAGAGATTCATACGAACTCCAAACTTTCAAAAGGTTTGAGCAGTATGAATAATAATAGCATTAATATTATTTTACAGTAATGTAATGATGAGTAAATGGAAAAGAATCGCTCACAGAAAAGAATTTCTTCTAAGTGTATGAGCTTTATTAACGAAAACTCCATTACAAAAAGTAAAACTCATGGGTTTCATAATAACAACGATATTTCGTATGGTATTAAAGATTTTTAAGTCATAAACTTAGGTGTTTCTTTCTTTGGTAAATAATAGATATATAAAAGTGTAATAAACATATCTATTAGTCATACTTTTAGATGTTCAACTTTTCTTTTTCAATCAAAAACTGATTTTCTATCTTTTTTCTTGATCAAGCTGGTATTTTGACCGTAAGCAGGATGCGATAAAAATAGTAAAAGCCTCAAAGGATCCGTTTCTTTGCTTTATCTTGGTTAACTTATGACCGTTTACCTAGCTTTCTTAAGTAAAGCAAGCTATTCATAGAGAAATCGAATTATAGAGTTATGAATGATCTGAAACTTTGTTCATAAATAAGTCTAACAATCATAAGAATATCTTAAAAACTTCAACGCGAAAGAATTTGTTCGTAAAATATCGAATTCTAGCAAATCTTCATTGTTGTTTTGACTTTTCCTTGCGACACATGACGGTTTTCTGGATATTCAATATCTGAAAAATCTTTTCGTTCTATTTAAAATTCTATAGACATTCTAATGGCTATGAGACTCATCTGTGAACGAAATTTTAGACTAAAAGGTTCGTGATTCGATTTTTCTATAAATACTATACTCTAAATTAGAAAGCTATCAAAACAGCCGTAGCTTAATAAGTGCAAAGAATGCGCACGAATCTTTTGTTTAGACTTCTACTAATTTAATTGGAATCTACGAAAGCCACCACGACTGAGCGATTAAGTTGTTCGATGCATATCCACAAGGTATTGTGTGAAAACCTCAGTATTATCATTGATCGAATAATCCTGAGTCAGTGACTAACGCCTATTTGTCTCTGACCGCTCGCCCGATAACATACTGACGATATTATGAAATACACGTGCTCTTGTGGTCAGTTAGTGTGTATGAGGAAGTCAGGCAATTGAGCGCAAGAACTCTGCCTTAGACCAATTTTCTGCTGAGGCCTATATCTAGTAATAGTTGTAGAAAAGATAACGAGCTATTAAATCCATCCCTAGACAGCATTCCACACCACGAGATAACTGCAAGGCAGGAATATTATTCCTTCTTCTGCCACCGGAATTTACTTATTAGAACAATATCTGTTGGATCAAAAAGTCATTTTGGCGACTTTCCCTAATTAGTTGACTTTCTTCTTTTATTGCGTGAACAAAACATATTGTTTTTTCTTAATCATTATTATTTCAAAGTGACATTATTCATAGAAATTGATCTGAGGAAAGTTTTGAGATTCGTGATGCATGAAATTTTTTTTATCCAAACACTCGATACAAATTTCAAAACCTAAACGATAGATTTTCATAATTACGTAGTTGATGAAGAATAAGTATATTTATATCCGTTAAGATGCTTCTACCATGGATAAAAAACAAAAACAATTTGATAAATTAATAAATGAATGGAAACAAAAATGTGAAGATACAACTATTGAACTTGAAGCCACACAAAAGGAAGCACGTCAATATTCAACTGAATTATTTAAGCTTAAAAGTCAGTATGAAGAATCACATGAACAAATTGAAGCACTTAGAAAAGAAAATAAGAATTTAGCTGATGAAATTAAAGTATTAAACAGAATTTAAAAGAAAATAATTTTTAATTAAAAAAAAAAATTCTTTTTATATATAGGATCTTATCGATCAATCAGGTGAAGGTGGAAAAAATATTCATGAAATTGATAAAGCTCGTAAACGTGCTGAATTAGAAAAAGAAGAATTGCAAAGTGCTTTAGAAGAAGCTGAATCTGCACTTGAACAAGAAGAAGCTAAAGTTCTCCGTGTACAAATGGAATTAAGTACAAAACGTCAAGAAATTGATCGCCGAATTCATGAAAAAGAGGAAGAATTTGAAAATACAAGACGTAATCACGCACGTACAATTGAATCAATGCAAGCAAGTTTAGAAGCTGAATCACGATCAAAAGCTGAAGCACTTAAACAAGTAAAATAAATTTCAAAATTAAATCAATTTTTTGTTTATTTCAAATATTTCTTCTAGAAAAAAAAACTCGAATCAGATATAAATGACCTTGAAGTTACACTTGATCATGCTAATCGTACAAATGTTGATTCACAAAAAGCATTAAAAAGACTTCAACAAAATCTTTCAGATTTACAAACACAAATTGAATATGAACGACAACAACGTGATGAAGCTCGTGAAGCAGCTGCTAATGTTGAACGTCGTTCTAATCTTATCATGAGTGAAATTGATGAATTACGTACTGCTTTAGAGCAAGCTGAACATGCGCGTAAAGCCGCCGAACATGAATTACATGATATTGCCGATCGTATTAGTGATTTAAGTACACAAAATGCTAATTTATCATCACAAAAACGACAACTTGAATCAACAGCTTCGGCGATGCAATCGGATTTAGATGAAGCTATTAGTGAACTGAAGAGTAGCGAAGAACGAGCAAAAAAAGCGAGTAAATACAAATAAAGAAAAAAGTAAAAGAGATTCGATAAAAAAATGTGTTCTATAAACATAAGATTCATAAAATGGAAAATAAACTAATCAATTCATGACAGATTTATCTGACTACTTTTGACAGTTTCTGATTGAGATAAACATAAAAATGGCATATCATTAAAGCAAGAATCATTGAGCTGAAAAGAATATTTCAAGAAAAAATAGTTCAATTAAAATACATGCAGACTTTCCCTATATCACTAGTACAATGCTAATAACGATTTCATCCATTATTATAGTATGGGCATCCACAGAAGGACATTAGGTGAAAATTGAACGTGTACATTCCAATGATGTAAATAGAGCAGCATTTTTCGGCATAGAAAAACTTTTATTTAAGACTAACTTTAAATTTGAAATCAACATTAAATGATGTATAATTTATTAGTCTTATAAAAATTAATTTCACGTATATATAGACTACGGGTTTCGAACAGTAATTTTTCAGAACAATATTTTCTATTGACTTTAACTTTTTCAGATTATATTGACGTTTGAGAGATGATAGAGCTATATTAAGCACAAAATAAGGTTTACCTAGATTAAAAAACACATATCCATCTGATCTATGGAAAAATGCATACAGTGTATTAGCAAGTATCATCTATTTTCTCATAGCTTTTTAGTTGTTTAAGCAAAAAAGAAATTTTCATTCGATAGCAGATATCAATGCACAACAGATCGAACGAGTTGGCTTATTATTTTTCAAAGTTTCATCCCACAGTAGCCTTTCTGTTAACTAATCATTAAAATGTGACTCGTAACAGCATTTGGTAGACACTGTGAATCAATAGTAAAATTAAGAAAACACCTTTAAAAAAAGAAATATAAATATCATCCTATTAGTAATTGAGATATTGACTGATTTTATAAGCGGCTCGTTTATTCTTAAGATAGAAGATGCAGAAGGAAATTATCATTTTTGTAAATGCACATAACATTCATCCAATATGATGTATAATAGGTACTGATGCTGCACGTCTTGTTGAAGAATTACGTCAAGAACAAGAACATGCTGTTAATGTTGAACGATTACGTAAAGGTCTTGAACAACAAGTTAAAGATCTTCAAGTACGTCTTGATGAAGCTGAAGGACATTCACTTAAAGGTGGAAAACGTGTTATTGCTAAACTTGAACAACGTGTAAGAATTTTTATATTGAGTTTTGAAAAAAAAAAGACTTCTTTTTTGTTGTTGTTAATTTAGATTCATGAATTAGAGAATGAAAATGAATTAGAACAACATCGTCATCAAGAAACAATTAAAGAATTACGTAAAAATGATCGTCGTTTGAAAGAATTAGTGTGTCAAACAGAAGAAGATCGAAAAAATCAATTACATTTAAAAGATCTCAGTGAAAAATTACAAAATAAAATTAAAATCTATAAACGTCAAGTTGAAGAAGCTGGTAAAATAAATGATTTTTAATATAATACTGTTTTTAAAAACTTATTATTTATTTTTAGAGGAAATCGCTGCAATTAATTTAGCTAAATTTCGTAAAGTTCAGTCTGAACTTGGTATGTTGACTAAGTTTTCTTTCATGAATCTATTTTTGTCGCTGAGCAATTGATCCAATTGAAACTTTACAAATTGGAGATAATTTGTTGGAAAAATATCCATATTTTTTCAAAAGTCGTATGAATAATTTTGCTCTGTTTAATTGTAGAGCATAGTTTTCTCTTGAGTTTGAGATGTTCATGGGTATTCTACAATTGAAAGTTGTTTACAAACTGAAACGCACAAACAATAGAGAATATAAAAATTTGTTTCGAGAAAAACACGAAATAGATTTTGATGATGAAGATCAAGTTTTTGTTCATCATGAAGCTCTTCAAGAAAATGAATTTGTAAACCGTACGAGAATATGTGACAAATATTTACTGATGTAAGCTTGTCATTTTCTCTATGCTGCAAACGTATAAATGAATCTCAAAAGACTTTTATGATTGAAGTTCGTAAATCATCTTTCGCATTTTGAGTTATAGAGGGACAACTCTGCAAAATTCTATATATTGTTGTAAAAACCAGCTAATCATATTACATTCGAAAGTAGCAAATCTAGACTATTCAATTATGTATGAAACTTCAAAGCCGTTAGTCGACATAGAAATGGGATCGTTTTCTGGCACAAGACAAAGATTTAAATAAAAAACATAAAACACTCATAATTAAAATCTTTTTTTGCAGAAGATGTAACTGAAAGAGCTGATTTATCGGAAAATCAACTTAATAAATTACGTGCCAAAAATCGTTCTTCGGTTAGTACGAATCGTACTTCTCCAGCAGTAAGTGTTTTAATAGAAAAAAAACATCAAGACTAAGTTCTTCTGTTTGTTTTCTAGAATGATTTACGCGAATCAATTGCTAGCCCACGAGGAAACTCAACAATTCGTGCTGGCTCAGTTCATCAACGTTAAATTACAAATTTAAACGTGAATGAATATGTGACAAATTCTTAATATTTGTATCTTGCTTTCTTAATCACTATGTAGATGTTCACATATTGCTGTGTCTTTGTTTTTGTGCACTTTTAAAAAAATATAGTTTTACATCAGGTATTAGTATGAATGAATAAATTTTTCAGATGAATAAGTAGAAAGAATATTGAAATTTTTGTGAACATTAAATATTTCCCAAAGAATATAAGTGTTGCGAAATATGCATTGAATATGTACAAGATGCCGATAGAAATAAGAGAAATACATTACAAATGAAATGCATTTCACTATTGAATAGAAAATAAATTCCTGAATCTTTTTAGAATAAGAAATTTAATTGTAATCGATTTCAAAAAGTCAGCATGATGATTGAATGATGTACAAAAAAAAAAGAATATTGTGTTAATTATTAAAAAATAAGTACTAAATTAAATAATTATTACAGTAGAATTAGAAATATCTATTATTGGTATGCAACTTCTCAAAATTCATTATTATTGAATAATCAAGCGGCGAAACAAAATATTTTCTTATTCGAAATGCTGACTGATCGAATATCACATTAACCTAGAACATTAACATAATTGATGATTGAGTGATGAATATACAAATATAATTAACGGTCTCTTACATGAAAATCGTTGAAATTTTTCAAAAGTATTTACATTTCAGAGATATTTATTAATAGAAGTTTTACCGTATATACTTTTTCCAAGAGAGACTTGCTTGATAAATATCATTTGAGATATTCTTCATAACTTTTTTATAAGCACCAATTTGAAACGAGTCAAAAATTGTTTTTATTTTCATTCTTGAGGCCAATAAATAGACGTATTCAAGATCTGGCCATCAATATTTTGACAAAGACGTACACAATAACTTTTCATATTCTTGAAAGAAACAAAGTAGGTTACTCAATTATTTTGACACATAGCTTTTCACACAGTTGCTTGCATGGATGTGTATGTGGGCGAAAATAGTACTCTCAACGATACTCACACCTAATATCTACCTATATTCGCATAACTTTTTTTTTGGATAACTCTTCCAACTCACAAGATTATGCTGATATGTTCTCTAATTTTTTGATAAAATATCATCTAATGAGCATCTATTATGACAATCTACAATTAGGAGGTGGGCGTGTGTTCTCTTCAGTCACACACTCTCACTCACACCCACATCCCATAAATCGATATTGATCATTCAATAATGGCATTGGTAATCGCAATTTTGGTTGAAATTAGAAATATCGAAGAGTTACAATGTTGATAGAGACTGTAGTAGATTTTTCTATGAACATATGGAAAAAATTTATTTATTAGAGAAAGAGCGGATCAAAGCAAGTGAAAAAAATTTTGCGATAAAATAGTTGATCAAAGATAATTAAGTTATATGCTAGATCATCTTTTTTTGTCACAACAAAAGAAGAATTAGTAAAGGTGTGAGTGAGTGTAGTGCGAGAGGATATAAAATCTATGCGCCGACGTCTACAAGAACAAAATCCAACGCTTACTATATGCTAATGGCATCTTCATAAGTATTTTTTGAACGGATACCTTTCAATAATTCTAGTTCTTTAACTTTCAGATTTTTTTATTTCAACCAAAGTCTAAAGAATCATGATATCTTTATCAAAAATATTCCAAAATAGTCTTCTTTTCAAAATTTTACTTATTATTTTTATAAGTTTTGTTTTCGACATTCTTTATACTTACGATATCTTTTACTTTTGATATTTTTACTTTCGATCAAAGTTGAGTTTATCTAAATTTTAACCAAGATATTCAACAAATAAAGACTTATTATTTAATGATTTAAAATCTGAGAGTAATGATTCAATGACTATGATGCATAGGCAATAGCATTTTTGAATATTTGTCTTTTAATGTTTATTTTTTAATAATCTCTTCTATTGTTGCCGAGTAACATCGAGATAAGACAATTTGGAGAAATATAAGTTATGTACTAAGTGTTTATAAAGATTGTATTGATGATTATAATTAAAAAAAAATAACTATAAAAAATGATGAACTTGCTAACAGGTTTACTGCACGAAAAAAAATAAACAAGAAAATAATGATGATAAAAAAATGTTTAACATAAATTTCGATAAATTCAATCGAATCAGTCATCTTTAATCCAATTCATCTCCCGTCACATTGTATCTATAGGATATCGTTAGCAAATGTCGTTAAAATCTCCTTTGTTCAAACTAAGATTTCATGATTCACGAGAAAGTTGCTGAATTCTAACATTTCTTTAATTCTTTGGAAAGTTAACAACTTACGAATCCAGACTGGAGGGTGTTCAATATTTTGCCTATGTAATACAGTAATATGTGCACTTGCTTTTGCTGACATTGCATTCCTCTGATCTATATCTGTCAGGTTTACATTCTCGCTGTGATCATCCCAAGAATGACATCAAGTATCGGTTTGTTGACGCATTCAATGAAACAAAAATACGCCTAGAATCAGCCATAAACCACCAACGAGATCGACAATAAGACCAACATTCTTCCCAGCAACTGTCAAATCACTATTTGAATTAGTATTTTGTGATAATCTGGTTGAATAGCACGACTATTGATATTCACTGAATACATGCTTAGATCTGGCACGGCATTAGGACTGGATACAATCGAAGCTACAGTTCTAGAGATATCTATGACAATTGTATCGATCAGGAATAATGCGATAATACTTCCTGCAAGAGAATATACTTTGTGACATGGCGTATTACTTATTCAAAAGTAATTACTAACTTTTTACTAAAATGATATCACTAATTAAAAGCATTTCAATATTCAACAAAAAGTTATCAATCATAGCTCGGTTCGATTCAAGTTCATTAGAAGCATCAAGTATATCTTAGTCATCGGCAAAAGTAATACTACTTGATAGACCATCAGCTTTATTGACAAACAAATCTTTAAAGCAACACAAAATAAATGAAATGTACATACATACATTCATTCGTCTAAATTACCAGAATCACTTTTGGCAAGTATACCATTCGGTGTTACTGTAATAATATGTTCATTGTTGGATGATACGATACGAGATAAATATTTAATACATACATGCCAGTCTCTCTTCATGTGGTTTCAAGTGTCACACGATAGTCTGGTGTTGTATCGATATAATAGTGCCTACATTGTCTAGGTTCTTCTTGTTGTGATTACAAATTACCTTTACATATCCCTATGTAAGCGCTTTCGAGCGTAACAATAAGCAACAAAATACAAAGAAAAAAAAATACATGTCATTATCATTGATTGTCAAACCGGTGATAGTGATAGTTATTGTCTGTAAATTGATAAAAGTTCTCAATTAATTGACTTGGATTAATACACCTGGATGATTAAACTGTGGCACGAAGCGTCACATTAGCTGTCGTTCACATCCAGTTTTCCCATTCAACTTTTGCAAGTTGACGACGAGTAATGCTATCTATTGGCATGATTGAGATGTCGAATGCTTCATTAACATTGGCATTGCAGATATTGTTGACTTGTTGACCAGCTAAAATAGCTCGTATGACAGTGATAGAAGAAGTTTGGACACTTAGATTCGCATTTTGTAAATATGAACTATTGACAAGAATGAATTGATAAAATACAACTATGACAAATTATGTAAATACCTGTTGACACCATCTGGTTCTCCTGCTTTCCATTGATACTATTTGTAATCGAAAAAAAGCAAAATGAATAAATAAAACAAAAAATATCCCAGATTTTTTTGCCGCTCCATATTTTGTTTCCTATTACTTTGTTGGTATCATATAGGAGTCATGCGTTTATTCAATAAAATATGAACGCTTACTCAATAATAAAGTCAAAAAATGCTTATGTTCAGAGTCACCTTAAGTATAAAGTATTGAGGACCCGTTGTGGAGTGTCCAAGAACTTTTTTGCGAGGGCTGTAAGAACTTTAGAAATTACCAAAAAAATTTAGAAACAGCCTACACTTCAAAAGATAACGTCTTGTTCTGGATAATAAAGTGCATTTACATGAGCATAGAAAAGAGATTTCATGATTCCTGCATTCACTGAGATGTGAATATGAGTGTCACAATGATTTTTAACTTCAGAATGAGATCTATTTAGATTATTAAAGGAAGACTTCTTCTATGTAATGGTGTTTGTGTTATCGAGTTCTATTGGTATGCCATCGAGATTGATAGCAGACGACACCACCTCGATCGTACACCTGATCGTAGTCACGGCGAAAGTAGCGCCTTCTCTTACCATTCCGATAGCACGCAAAAAAAAACCATAATAATAGATACATCATCAGATACAGAAAGTTTTTCTCTACTAACTTCAATATATTCTGTTTGTGGGTTAAAACTGTCTAATCGTTTTTCCTAATAATTTCTAAAATGACTCATATTTTGGTAGGAATATAGAGTCGTTTTTTTTTCATATGGAACTATAATGATATCTATGTTGAATAAATATAGTAACTTCTATATTTACTGAAAGTTCTTAGTAATTTTTGAAGTTTCCTAGTAATTGGTTTCTGTTGTATTCACAGCTTTAGGAAATTTCCTTGAAACTCGAGTCTTTTCTACCAGACAGTTTCAGTTGCTTCAACAAAAGTTATTGTGGCTTCCAAACTGTCTTGCTAATACGATTTTTCTGTGAAAGTAGTTTCTGACATTTAGTTTTTTCATGAGAGAAATTTATTTTTCTTCTCGAAGATCTGAACACTGCAGCATAAACCATTATGTTGTTTTTTCTTGTAATGTAATTACTATGAAGCAATAATTGTGAATTAGATCTATATTAATACAAATACATTTTAATTCACTTCAAAATAGTCGGTGCGATTTATTTATTTATTCAAAATATAAATTATTAATCTCTTCTATTTTAAAGAGTACAAATTAGAATATGACAATAATTATATCAATCAAAAATCGTCATTTAGAAATTATTATGTCAGTATGCATTGCACGATCGATTATTACTCATAGCATTGGATTTTTTCCTTTGATTAATGAAAAGAACGCTTCTTTTTTTACCTACTTTTTTTTTCTTTCTCTTATTCGTAATTATATTTTTTTACATGTTCGTGAGTGGTTTCTCTGTCTCCATTGTATCTGATATATTTGTGAATTATTTTCCTTCATGGTCATCCTTATCTTTTGGTGTCATCATTAAAGCAAATCAACCAGAACTATCAAGCTTGTTTGCATTTTATTTCTGTCAGAAGTTTGAGTGAAATTCGTTTTTTGTTTTAGCAAAACAAATTTATTTACATAAATGAGCAAATGAATTCGATATTCAACGCCTGCAAATGACTCACGCTACATAATTGAATCCCCATACCAATGAAGAATGAAATAGCGGTTATTTACAAAAGCCAATAACTTCGATAGAAAACTTGGTTCTGGTTCATTGAGATTTGTTTATGCAGCATATGTCGTCTTCTAGATAGTAAATCAGTTTTTTTTATTTCTTTCGTTATTGTATTCTCATTTTGAAGATTGAAAGTATTCTATTAGTGTAGATCAATCGGTTGCTATTAATGTTATATATCCAGCAACGATGTATCTGGAGAAGCAGAAAGTAAGATAATATCAGTTCTTAATGAAATATCAATGGTAAAACGCTTGGCTAAAATATAAAATTACACAATACATATGTATGACTTCAATTTTGATCGTGATATAGGTCTCGCATTTATTGTAATGGAATTTTATCAACAAGATTTAAAGAAAGCTCTTGAACAAAGATTTTTTTCTTTCATCCGCTGAAAGAAACAATAATGTAACGACAATTATTGAAAAATTGTAATGGCTCTTTATTCTGAACAAATTTTATCGTCGTGGTTTTATTTGATATCATTTTATCATATTTTATAGGTACATCTCAATATTTAACCTCAAAATTTTATCATATTTTCTGGTAATATGATTAAATCAACTGGTCAAGGTATGCCTCAAAAAGCTCATAAAACAAGGTAAAATATTTCAATAATAATTTAAAAACAAAATTCTCTGAATCAGATATATTTCGCATTTTATCATAAAACCTTATTAGTAGATTGATTTATGCATACATTGATCTTTAAATTTTAAGACTAAATTTTTGTTAATACGTTTATAGTTGGACCTACTGATACTGTACCATATTCGGCACCTTAAGTAACAAATATGACAATGTTTCGTGTGACAATGTATAAAACAAAAGCAGATGTTTGGTTATGGGATGCTATTCTCAATCATATGACTTACATGATATCACCTGATTATAATCCTCCAAGTGATCGTCCTTCTGCTAATCAACATCCAACACGTGATCTGTATCTTCTTAATGTGCCTCATCGTACGCTTATTATTAATTTAAGTAAAAGACGTGATCCTTCATGGCTGAGTGAGCATCTGTACATGAAAATACCTAGAATAATTTTTTTTTCCTATTGACTTTTTATTTATAAAAAAAATTTTCGACTTGTAACAACAATGATTTAACGCAAATTAAATGCTTTTATTATCTTTTACAATATAGAACATCAATTGAAATTTATAAAGATAAGCTGTCAAATGTTTCACGTTTTTCATGTAGAACATACAAGAGCAGACCATATGATAAGCTACGAAAGACATAGAAAATTATAATTTTTGGGTATTTTATTTTTTCTAGAAGAACAAAAAAACATCAATCAACAGTCGTTTTTCGTTGTAGTTTTGAAGTTTTGACATTATGTTCAAAACTCTGAAAACACTTCTAGGCCCATATCGTTCTTTGAATGTATAACAAATTCGTAGAAAAGATTCTGACTCGCTAGTGCTAATAAGCAGTCTTTTATTTATATAAATTGCTATGAAAGAAATATGTATCGCAAAAAATTAGTAAACTATTAATTACTTCTTGGTATCTATAATTTTCTGTTAAATTTTTCTATGTTAGTGTGAATGATAGTCTGTATGATTGTTAGATCGTAAAAAAATTCATCTCACCAGGGAATCACTCGAACTACTACCACCCATTTGAGTTCATATTAAGCCTAGAATAACGCATTGTTGGTACTAATGAAAAACCATAAAAGGTTCGCCCCCATGAGTCTTTGAGACCAAACTGTGAACATTTTACTTAAATTTCAATGTTAAGTTTTGTCCATCGATAGATCTTACGATCCATAAAATTCCCAGAAAGTTTCAGTCAGAAAGAAAGGTTTTCTTTGTCGAGATATTAAATTTTCACGTGAACTCGACTTTTTTATCATACATGTGGTGAAAGATTATTTTTTTGAAAATTTAAGATCTCAACAAAAGAACGTTGTTTTCGGCTGAAACTTTTAGGATATTCTACGTATTATAACCTGCATCTTGTTCAGATGAGATCATAAGAGTTGCCTTACTATCGATATGATTATACCTGTATAATTACGTTCTCCTTCTTTTACCGTGCTTATTAGTCATGCATCATAGACTTTCCCTTATTTGTCATTTATACACGTGTAATGGTTTTCCCCTTGCTCTCATGTGCATATGTGATGGATCTTTCCCTTCTCTTCTAAGTTTCTCTCTTTTACTTTGTTTTACCGATCATTCTTTTTTCTTCATGATCTATAGAATTTTCCCCAAGTTATCGTCATTTATATATATTCGTTACATTATTGCGACGAAGCACTAGAGATAAAAATCATTTTTTTAAATAAATGTGCTGTGTCCTTACAAGTTTACCTACATATAGTTAGTAGTTATCATTATTTTGTTTTCAAAGGAAAACGTGCTTGCAAGATAACAGAAGTTCTTCATCATCATTTGATAAGAACTATATACATATATATATTCATATATTTTCGACTTCGTTATAAAGTCGAAAATAAAAGCAACAAAAAATGGTGCAATTTACGCAATATTTGATTCATTTACAACGTTATTCAGTCCCAAGTAATTCATCAAGTAATTCTTCATGTCCATTATCACCTGTCAAATGGTGTTTAAATGAAATGGGTAGTTCTCCATTTTGTATTCGAAGTCCTACACTTATTCCAACATGTCTTTTGGCTTTATTAATCGGTGTTTATTGTTCTAAAAATATTTCTAAACTACCTGAAAAATTTGAAACGCGATGGCTTTATCAATTAACATTTTTTCTCTTTGGTATAATGATGACATCAGCTGGTATATTACATTGTTTTTTGGGTGATCCACAAAGATTGTCACTTACTCTTCGAAATAATGGCGTCGATTCACTTCTAGTTATACAAATACTTTTTGCAATAATTGATGCTGGCTTAACGACAAGTGTTGCTGTGAGTTTTCTCTTTTGTGGTTTATGTGATATTAATTTTTTAGATCCAAAATCAAATGCTACACGTTTTCTACTCATCGGTTCATATTTCATTGTTTTTGTTTTATGGACTTTGGGAGTATTTAGGCAATGGTCTTGGACATTTCATGTTCTTTACCTTGGAGTCATATCAGTTAGTTGTTTTATTTATCTACTGACACAATTATGGATTAAATCGAATCGTCGTGCTTTACCTTCTCTACTTGTTGGTGGACTCTATGGAGCTATTGGTTTATTTGCAGCATCGTTTGCTGCTAACCGTATTTGTAAATCGGAAGGTCCATTTTGGTCACAATATATTGGACCCGAATTTCTCTGGTTTCTATTTTCAGATATTAGTATGGCATTTATATTCATATACGTAATACAAGCTCACCGAGAAAATAAAGTCACTATTCATAAATGTGATGTTGACATTGACGTTGAAGAAAATCCTGAAAAATACTAAATTACTTTCTTTTTTTTTCCAAAAATTTATTATACTTTTTTTTGTAAAAACAAAAAAAATTGATTCTCTGATTGAAATAAATAGATGAACAATTTAATGAAAATCAATATTGATTGATATACGTATATACATATACAGTAGTCGCAAAAAAAGCCTCGCTACGTGGTAAAAAGTATTTCAACTTTAACCATTTAGTCTCACCGTTTGATCAACAATAGAGCATGGTGAACTTTGATTGCAAGCACTAGTCAGGACTTGTTCGACTCTCGTACAAAGGAGTTAGAAGCTCGACACTGATTTTTCTTTCGACGAAAATATTTTAACATAGAAAACAAATCTCATGATATTAAATCCCTTATTCAATAGGTCAGTACTGTCTCTATCATCGAAAAAAATCCCATGTCAAACAATTTTAGTTTGCCTGATTTATGAAGTTATCGTTGAGTAATCTCCACACAAGAGTTGATGGAAATCATCGAGAAGTGATCGAAATTTTAGTCAAGTAATAACCCTTTTCTAATCACAGTTTTCCTGAAAATTTCATGACCGCAGCCGTCAATAGGGAAGAAATCCATGCTAAGACCATTTCAAACAATAGAGGCCTTCCCGTGCTTCAAGATTGTAGTGAATTGAACTACCCTATTTGTGACACACTATAGACATGTGAATCGTAATTTGTTATGAAGGAAATCGAGGTTACCGCATCTAAATAGTGGCAAATCAGAAAAATGTCGAAAAATCATTTTTGGATCTTAGGAAAAAAGTATTTTCATCATAAATTCTTTGTATTAAGGCCTAACGACCACGAGTTGCTGATTCCGATCAGGGTTTATCAAGCTCCATTTGTATTTAAAATATTAGCAAAAAGATTGAAGTTTATGTACCTTTGACTCAGTAGTGGAATTTCTTGTACCTACTCTATATTTTCAGTTCGAAAAGTTTATTTTTTACGACTTAATAGCAAGGTATTTTACAACATCAAAACGAAATAGGACAGATGAAATTTTTTAATATTATTTGTAAAAGTTTTTTCTTTTTGTTAGAACAAAACATAATGCATAGATCATGACAAAAATGAACATATATTAATCTGACTAAGTTTAAGAAATACTTCATTGAATTAATTGTTTACTATCATATGTATATTAGAAATTTTAAAAAAAGTATAAAATGAAAGTAATTATTATTGTTCGTGTTCGTGCATGTTAATGCTTACATTACAGGACCATAAAATTGATTTGATTGAAATTCCTAATTTAATATATCCAAAAAAACAACTAATGAAGAAAATATGTAAAAGTAACAATATTGAACATCTCAAACGACAAACAGAAAAAGTTCAAGAATGAATTTGGTGAGAATAAGAGAAAAAAAAAACTTTGTAACTTCATGTGGAGCTAGAAAACATGAACACAAGATAAAGATGTTCGGTAAAATACAAAACAGTGCATTTTCAAAATCTCAAGTGTCTTGGGTACTACAATTTTGCTTGAAGTATTTAATATTAGAAGTACTGTGCTCATGTATAAGTGGATATCAAAGAAAATATTTAAAGACTAAATAAATCATTGAATTGTAGCTAAGTATCTCGAACTTATAGACAATAACTTGGTTAAATATGACTGATAGAGCGATCACATTTAGATAAGTATAGATCAGAACAGATGTCACTTATGTCGTTCAAAATTCAAATTATTAAAAATTCTTGTTGATAACGTTTCAAAAAAAAAATTCGAAGTACTATTTAAATAAATCAAACAGTGATTAAAAAGATTCTTAAACATTTTCTTTCTTTATTTTATTGAACATTTTAGTTTCTGCATTGTTCAAATAAAATCACTAACCAGACAATTGATCGATTGGTTAATCCCTTTACACAAATAAGATACGTTTATTTATCCTTCTTCTTCTTCTTCTAAGTAATGTTCTTTGTTAGGATAAACTATGGATCATTGTCTTATTTATGGGATCATTTGTATTAAATAGATTTTCGATCAATGTACTTCCAGATATCGACAATGAACGAGCAGCGGCCACCACCGCCACCCGTACGTGTCGATTCAATCTCAGGGTAAAATTCATATTGATTTTTCTTTAAGAATTTTTCTTCATATTTTTATTTTGATATTTAGTCTTGAAATGAAACCTCTTCCTCGTCGACCAGATGATGAATTAAATAAAAAGAAAAAAACCAATAGTAAAGGTAGAAAAAAAATTTATTCTTTATTTTATTTTTTCGAAATTGAATAGATTGGACAAAAAAAGATCCATCAAAATTAACAATATCTCGTCCAACAAATTTTAATCATCCAATTCATGTAACATATAATTCATCAACAGGTGAATTCGATGGTATGCCAGAAATTTGGTCAAGTTTATTACAAAGTTCAAAAATAACTAAACAAGAACAAAAACAAAATCCACAAGCTGTTATTCATGCATTAGATTTTTATCAACATGCTGCACAAAAAAGAGAATCAAAATTTATGTATTCATCTTATAAAAGTAAAATTTTTCATTTCATAATTTAATTTAAAAAAGAAAACTTATTTTTCTAGATTTAACACCGCCTATATCTGGTGATTTAGCCGATAAATTTCGACAAACAGTTATTCTCGTGTCAGATAAATCAACATCAGTAAAAGAAAATTACAAATTCATTTTATAGAATATTTTTATTTTCTTTAGCCATATGAACAAATCTCAAATCGTCATGAGAATGATCAATTACCACCACCTATTGCTGCAAGACCAGAAAAAACTAAAAGCATTGTATGTACTTTTCTTTTTTTTTTTCTATATTCATTGAGTGGATTATCAATTGAAAGAATGAAATAGAAAGCAATATACTGTTAGACATTCATCATTAGACATGCACCCTAATTCATGGACATCATAATGATTTTTTTTTGCTTCTTACGTAATATTAACTTCTTTGGTTATCTGATGCAATATAAACACAGAAGAAGGTCTGCTTTTTTTCTGAACAAATGAAGAATGATCTAATGGATTATATAATAAGAGAAAAAGTGCTTTTGATCACCAATTTTTTTCAACTTATAATTTTTCATTATCTTTTCTTGGATATTTCTACACAATACACATCAGAGATAGAATCGGTCCAGTTCGCAATATTCCAAGACAGCTTCGGTTTCGGTTCGGTTTAAATTTTAGAAAACTTGAATCGATCCCATCTCTGATATATATAAAATAGATGAAAATTGTTTGGAATAAAACGAATAAGTCCAAATAAAGATTATATTATTTTAGTTATTCCTAGTGGAGTTAAATTTTTTTTTCCGGCTCTCTCTTCTTCATCTACGTTTAGTACTTTGTTTTCAGAAATCAAATAAATATATGATGAAAGCAATTAGTGAATAGGATACATGTGTTTGTAGAAAAAATAAATACCCTGTTAAAAATATTGTTTCAACTAATTGACTTGATTAACAGTGGGGCATACTACAGAGTTAGAATGAAGTTGTCGTCAGTCTAGAGCAACACCTACAATTTATTAAGCAACATGAATGTGAAATGAATGCTGAAAAAAGTTGATTATCAAAATATCTTTGTTTTTTTCTGGTGATCAAAAACATTGCCGGCCATTTGATAGAACATAAAGTTTAAAGAAACCTAAAAAATGACTTAAATTAGTGAGTTCGATTTTTTTTTCTGTAATTACCTTAGTGCTTACCCAAATGCTGAAATTTAACTATTCTTATTGATATCTTCTAGAGGAGTCCTTCCAATTAAGTTTTATAACTGCAGAAAAATTTTGCGCTTACATAGTTCGATAATTATGAATTTTGTTTTCATCGAAAGAAAAATGAATACAACCATTATTAGTTAGGCAATATTGAAACTTGAGAATATTTTAAAGAATTCATATCCATAGATGTTCATTTATGGTTATTTTTGTGAGTTAATCAATAAAATGTCGTGATCTGTTCGCAAAAAAACTACTTTCATTAAAAACTTTATTTGTGCAAAGTTTGAACTCAAAAGTTGATTTTAAAAATGGTCAGACGGAGAGTAAGATATTTTATCGTAAAGCTCACTAAAATGTCCATAAGCCAAGGAAGAAAAACACCATCAACACAAATTCTTTAAGACTAATTTCAAAAGTAGTTTATTCGTAGACGAGTTTTCCTCGTGAGCATCATTTCACAATGGACTATTATTATCAGTTGAGAACGTTGAAAATTCTGAATGCATTAGATCTAATTCTGAGTGCAAATCTTAAATAATAAATGCTTGAAGGTACAATAGAAAAAGTTAATTTCCTTTATTGGTTAGAACGTCAATTGATAAACCTCTCTAAGTATCGTTGAAAAGATTTGATATATTTTAACTATATATTATTCTCGATAGAGTTTTAATGCAATGAGTTTAGAAAGAACTGGAATATACTTGATTGCTAAGCCAGAATGACTTCATATAAGAATTATTTTACTACTATTTTCAATAGTATGACACCCTATTTTTCTTATTTTCTCGAAGTTTTTTTTTAGACAAGCTGTTTATGTGTGACATGTAAAAGATGCAGCTACCGGTTGTTAGAACAAAACTTATTATTCGATCCAGCAAAATTCTTATTAAATTGTCAATCATTTAGTTGCATTTTGTTATCATATGATTGCACTTTTTTTGCTTGTATCAGTAGTCTCGCTTCAGCAAATCTCTGTTTCGTATTTGCAGATGTATAAAAATAGAATAAGTTGATAAAATTGTACATTAAATTGTTTCATTTTGGTACACTTAGACATCGGTTTTGCTTATTGACGAACATCGTTGTTCATAATATCGTTTAAAATTACTTATTTCTTTCATTAATTGTAAACCTAAAGTTCTAATTTTATTAAATTAAACATTGCAATGAAAGTACGCATTTATTTTTAGTACACAAGACCAATTGATGATGATAATAGTAAATCAGTGCCGACAAATGGAGATAAATCGAAACGAAAACAATTGAGTGATGAAGAAATCTATGGAAAATT